GGAAATGATCAAACATAGGTGCAAAAAAAAAAGAAAATGACAGAACAAATGGAGAGGTAATCCATGTTCATGGTTTGAAGACTCAGTCTTAATCACAAACTCAGGAGAATTATTTTTGTAGAAATAAGATGATTCTAAAATTTATATGGAAAGACAAACTAGGATAGCAAAAACAATTTTCTAAAAGAACAACCAAGTTCAAGAAACATTATTTAATTTTAAGATTACTATAAATCTATAATAATCAGGAAAGTGTGGCATTGGAAAAGATTGGGTCAACATATAAATTAATGAAATAGTATGTAATAGTAGACACATATACACGGTCAATTTTTTGGGTAAAGATGCAAAGGGAATTAAATGAGGAGATGGTAGTCTTTTCAACAAATAATTCTGAAACAATTGCATATTTGTGTGCAAAAAAAGAAAAAACCAAGAACCCTGATCAATACTCTTCACCCTATACAAAAATTCACTTAGAATAGATCATAAATCAAAATGTAAAAACCTAAAACTATTAATCTTATAGAGAAAGTTATAGGAAAATATCTTGGTGATCTTGGGTTAGGCAAAGATTTCTTTTTTTGCAATAGCAAAAGCATGATCCATAAAGTAAAAATTGATTAATTTGACTTTATCAAAATTGTGAACTTTTGCTTTCTCTTTTTAATTTTTAATTTTTAAAGATTTTATTCATTTGAAAGAGACAGAATACAAGCAGGGGAAGAGGCAGATGAAGAGAGAGAAGCAGACTCCCTGCGGAGTTGGGAGCCCAGTTTGGGGCTTGATCCTAGGACCTGGAAGATCATGACCAGAACCAAAGACAGATGCTTAACCATCTGAGCCACTCAGGCACCCCAGAGAACTTTTGCTTTCTAAAAACACAGTTAAGACAATGAAAAGGCAAGCCATAGATTGGGAGAAAATATTTGTAAATTATAAATCTAACAGAGATTTTTTACCCAGAATATATAAAGTATTTCTAAAACTCAATAAGAAAACAAACAGCCTTATTAAAAATGGACAAAAGATTTCAACAGACTCTTCACCAAAGAATAGAGATGGCAGATACAAAATATGGAAAGAGCCCAGATGTCCATTGACAGATGAACAGATAAAGATGATGTGGTACATATATACAATGGAATATTACTCAACCATCAAAAAGAATGAAATCTTGCCATTTGCACTGAGGTGGATGGGACTAGAGAGTATTATGCTAAGCGAAGTAAGTCAGAGACAAATACCATCTGATTTCACTAATATGTAGAATTTAAGAAACAAAACAGATGGACATAAGGGAAGGGAAGGAAAAATAAAATGAGGGAAAAACAGAAAGGGAGGCAAACCATAAGAGTGCTCACTCTAGAAGCTGTCAAGATTTATTTTAAAGATACAGGAACTAAGAAAGATGTTACCTCATTGATGTAAGTTTAGACAAACAGATCAGTTGTGCAAAAATTGTTCAGAAATGAACCTTAGGTTTGACCTCGGTGTGTGGAGGAATTTTCTAATCACTGAGGAAACTATGGTTTGGAAATAAATGGTCTTGGGATGTTTGATTTTATGAATATGATTATTTGATTTTAGACATTCTGGGTTTTAGGTGTTTGTGGCCCTTCAAAGTGGAAGTGTTCATTAGGCGGTCGAATGTGTATGTACCTGCAGCTTAGCAGACAGACCTGGGTTAGTTACAGAAATCTGGGAATCACAAGTTTATGGTAGAGCTTTTTTTTTTTTTTTAATTAATAAATTTTATTATTATTTTTTAAAACATATATTTTTATCCCCAGGGGTACAGGTCTGTGAATCGCCAGGTTTACACATTTCACAGCACACGTACGCTCCCCAATGTCCATAACCCCACCCTCCCTCTCCCAACCCCCCTCCCCCCATCAACCCTCAGTTTGTTTTGTGAGATTAAGAGTCACTTATGGTTTGTCTCCCTCCCAATCCCATCTTGTTTCATTTACTCTTCTCCTACCCCCTTAACCCCCCATGTTGAATCTCCTCTCCCTCATATCAGGGAGATCATATAATAATTGTCTTTCTCCGATTGACTGACTTCGCTAAGCATGATACCCTCTAGTTCCATCCACGTCGTCGCAAATGGCAAGATTTTATTTCTTTTGATGGCTGCATAGTATTCCATTGTGTATATATACCACATCTTCTTTATCCATTCGTCTGTTGATGGACATCTAGGTTCTTTCCATAGTTTGGCTATTGTGGACATTGCTGCTATAAACATTCGGGTGCATGTGCCCCTTCGGATCACTACGTTTGTATCTTTAGGGTAAATATATGGTAGAGCTTTGTGAGGAAAAATTGAAATTACTCATCCAGAGAGTATAGCCCGAGAGAAAAAGAGGAGAGTAGGTGGAAGCCTCTGGAACACTAATATTTAAGGACCCAGTGGAGACAGCAGAGCCACCTGCCAGCCCAGTGAGGGCAGGTGCTCTGCGGTCTTATTCACATCTCAGGTTTACATCTCCGACAAATGATAGGTGCTCAACAAGTGTTTGTTGAATGAGTATTAGCAGCCAGACCTGTGAGAGTAAAACTAGAAGACAGGGAGTCATAGTAGCAAGAGAAGGAGAGAGAAATGAAATGCTTCAGAAAAAGCAAAAGGATGACTGAAAAGTGGATTTAGGAACAAAGATGTCACTCACTGGTGACCTTAAGGGGTGCTCTCAGTGCTAGAGGAGGACACTGGAAAAAGCATCTTAGGAAGGAAGGCGAGACAAGAGGCACTTGGATCGAGGGAGGGTTTCCCCCCAGTCATTTGTTTTTTGTTTTGTTTTTGTGTTTTGATGGGAGAACATTGGAAATCCAGTATTTAGGGAGGAGGAATAGAGAGCTAAAAGAAAGGGAGTGAAGATTAAGAAGAGAAAAGCAACTAATTAATGAATCAGGGTCCCTGTGGAAGTGAGAGAGATGAGACCTAGAATACGATTTCCCCTTGGAAAGGGAATAAGATCTTTTCCTCAGAAACTGGGAAGAACAATGGAGGAGAAGATCATTTGCAATCTGGAAAAGGCAGTGTAGACGAATATAGATGAATACAGATTTGCAGGCCAGGATGGATTTACTGGGGAGTTATGAACCTTATGCTTTGGGTGATGCCTTACTTGCATGGGCCTCTCTGAGTGCTATGAGTTACTAGGAGTTTTAATGTCCTGGGGGAGAGGGAATGCCACATTGTAATCCAGAAACATTTCTATACAAGTATTTCTGACACATTGTCTAACGGAATCTCAGAAGAAAGAGATCAAAATTCCTAAGACTCCAGTCACTTATTATATCTTTTCTCATTCTAGATAACTTTCATTTTAGCACGTACTTTGGTATTTGTGATTGTGTGTGTGTGTTTAAAGATTTTATTTATTTATTTGACAGAGAGAGATCACAAGTAGGCAGAGAGGCAGGCAGAGAGAGAGGGGGAAGCAGGCTCCCCGTTGAGCAGAGAGCCCGATGTGCGGCTCGATCCCAGGACCCTGAGATCATGACCTGAGCCGAAGACAGAGGCCTTAACCCACTGAGCCACCCAGGTGCCCCGTGTGTGTGGGTTTTAAAGAGCCCCCCCACCCACCTTGAATAAATGTTAAGACCCTTGATATCTGGATATGTCTTTGCTTGTAGGTAAGGGGGCAGAGGTTGAGGGATTTCCTAGTTTTAACTTTCTCAAATAAAAGGCAAGATCATTTGAGAGGATGGACTTAGAGAGAAGGCTTAGAAGGGTTTTTGGGTCATTTAGAGCAGTCTTTGTGGGGGTGAGGGGAGAGCTGATTAAGAACAGCAGAAATGAGTCTGAGAGCCCACTCCCAATTTGTTTTTTATTCTCCCTGAACCACTCCCTAACTCCCCTCCTTCCCTCCAGCCCCTTCCCTGCACCCCATTTTGGCTGTCAGTGTAGGAACAAAGAAGGCACATGTTTCAGGTTAGGGTTGCAGGCTACTAGAAAGAGGAGGGGTCTAGGGGCCGTCTGGGTGGTGTAGTCAGCTGAAGCATCCGACTCTTGGTGTCTGCTCAGGTCTGATCTCAGGGTCACGGGACCAGGCCCACATCAGGCTCCGTGCTCAGTGGGGAGTCTGCTTAAGTTTCTCTCTCTAAAATAAATAAAAAGGGGGAAAAAAAGGAGGGGGTCTAGTACTGTTGAGGAAGGACGCAGACAGTGATGTATAGGGAGGGAAGGACAGCCTTCTGGCTGCGCACTCCCAGGCAAGTACGGGATGGAAGTTTAGTTGGGGCTGGAGAGCAGAGAAACCATCAACACTCTGAGGGGATGGAGGGAGAATCAGCGATGGAGCGGTTTATTCTGGAGAGAGCAGCAAGGGGCAGTGATGTCGTCTGAGGAAACCGAGGAGGAAATAAGATGAGGACATATTGCCAGTAGACTTAGCTTTATTCCGAGGATTTAGTAGGAAGGAAGCCTGCTGGGGTGGTGGTGGGGGGGTAGTATGTAAGTTAACACTGAAGTTTTTTAGGCCAGAGAAGTAATAGCAAAGAGTATTTGTATAATGTTTTGTAGTTGATTGCTTTTGTAGTGTCAGGATTAAAAGAAGCAATAGGTAGTTTTGCTCGGCATTTTTGTTTTCCTTAAATTGTCATGTAGTAATGAAATTGCAAATCTGTACACAAACTCAAAGTAGTTTATGTTGCATTCTGCCCTGGTTTCATGAGCATCTACTTCATTGCAGTCTTTACAACATTTTTACTATATCCTTATGTCTCATGGAGAAGTAGTAGCAATCCATTTAACAAGTGATAAAATAAGAAACAATGACCTTTAAAATAGTGACCTTTAAAGTTTACCTCTGCCTAAACCAGTTTGCTTAGTCATTAATTGATGTGCTGGAATTACAAGAAAAAATGTAAAAGCTTTTTATTTTGTGTTCTCTCTCTCTCTCTCTTTTTTAGTAGGCACCACGCCTAATGTGGAGCCCAACTCAGGGCTTGAACTCCCAACCCTGAGATCAAGACCTGAGCTGAGATCAAGAGCCGCATGCTTAACTGACTGAGCCACCCAGGTGCCCCTATTTTGTGCTGTCTCTAACATATTTATTACATATATATATATACCAAGTAATTTCCCCCTATCCGTATAAAGCTAGAACTTTTAATATGTTGAACCAAAAGACCTTTTCTCACATAAATCCCTCAATGCGCTTTTCTTCTTTACCTTTATAGCAAAAACAAAAGAAAGAAGTCTTTTTCAAAGACAGTCTGTTATGATTCTAGAATACTGAGTTGTTCTAGAAACCGTTGCATCATATTTCAATCATCGTTACTCAGTTGATGAAGTTAGTTGAGCCACAGTTCTCCTTCTCTGATAGGATGCCAACAGTGGACAAAGATTTTAAACCATGCTGGGTACCATCCTGAGGGAGCTGGAGGAGAGCTAAATACTTCCATGGGTTCTAAGTATGTCTTCCATTTTGAGCGCCTTTCATTTCAGTAGGGCCTTCAGTCATCAAAGGTAAATATAAATATCTATTTTTGTATGCATATATATATTTTAAAAGATTGAAAAAATTTAAAATTCTGTATTGACATTCTGATTAATAATTGGTGTTTTTCTGCTTCATAAGAATCATTGTTCACAGTTGGACTCAGTTTGAATAATAATCAAAGTACTAACAAAATACTATTCTAGCATGTCTTTTTTAAGGATGGAATTTCTTTTTTTTTCCTGGTCTTGAAAAATCTAACTCTGTAGGCAATCCACTGTGATTGTGACATGTTCTTTTTTTTTTTTTTTAAAGATTTTATTTATTTATTTGGCAGACGGAGATCACAAGTAGACAGAGAGGCAGGCAGAGAGAGAGGAAAGGAAACAGGCTCTGTGCCGAGCCGAGAGCCCGATGCGGGGCTCGATCCCAGGACCCTAGGATCATGACCTGATCCGAAGGCAGAGGCTTTAACCCACCGAGCCACCCAGGCGCCCCTTGTGACATGTTCTTATAGTTAAATGTTTTTAATTAACTCTCAAGTTAAATTTGTTTTAATTGTTCTAAATACACAGAATGTCCCTGGCTGCTTATTGTATCATCTGTTGCAGAAGAATAGGAACCTTAACTCCTCCGCCCAATAGTACCACATACCGGAGAGATATCAGTGAGTACAGCTGAAACAGTATTTCTTAAAGAAACTATGCTAGAATGGAGGCTGAGTTTTCCACGTGGCCTCCTCAAAAATTTACTTAATCCATGATAAATCTCATATTTGTTTCTGTCTTTTCTATACCATTGGTGCACCCCAAATTTGTAGGACCAAAGCCACGAATACTCCTTTTTCTTGGGAATCTTTTTCCTCCCCTGTTTTTTGTCAGATTCAGGCTCATCCTTTCAAACTCAAGTATCACTACACTCTCATTATTAAGTTTCTGCAAAATAAGGAGGCAGACACATGTATTAGGTTCTGGAAATTCAGTATGAGCAGAAATGTTGTGCTTGTGCAATGGGAGGTTGGGATCTAGTGCTGGTCTGCTATCTTTATTTGTAAATCTTTATTTATCTTATTATTGATCTTTATTTGTAAAAGAGAAGATAGGCCTAGATCACCTTTCATTCATTTGGCAAATTATTTATTTACTATCTGCTATGTGCCAGGTACCATTCTAGGCCCTGAGGATACAATATGAATTAAGACAAAGTCCCTGTTTTCATGGAGTTTCTGTTTGTTCTTTAAGATAAACCTTTTTTTAGGATAGATCCTTTTCATGTAGAAAATTCTATGATTTTGTATTCTAAATATAAAAAGGGGTTGGGACATAGAAGGGAGCTTTTCTTCTCTCATCATTCTTAAAGAATGAAGAGCAGTGAATTTAGGATGGGAGAGTAGTGAATTTAGATAGGAGAAAGGCTGTGAGACTATATTCTGTTCCCAGGACCCAGTGAAAAAGAAACATAGCAAGCAGTAGAGAGGGAAACAAGCTGGGGCCCACAGGGTTGGGTGGGGTTTGGGGGTGGCAAGGAGACCATCTTAGAATGAAAAATAAGCTAGAGGAGTCCCACAGTCAGGAAGCTCTGTCACAACTTCTGATCTCATCCCTTCAGACCTCCTCGAACTGTACCCTTCCCAATTCTGGAACCACTACTAAGGTCTCAGAGTTTGGGAGGAATGTCCATCTCCCTTGCTTGATGTCTAGAGAAGTTGATTGAGTTGAGTTTCTTATCCCTCTGTAGGGAGGATAAATGTGTTATCAGTAGTCTTAAGTTGAAACTCTGACGATGGGCTACCTCTACACATCCAGTAAGTTAAAAGTCATGTAGGTTTTGCAGGCAGGTAGCAGGACCTGATGCTTATGGGTAATGTATCTGTAAAGGTTGTGTTCAGGACATGTAATAGAAACTTGCCTGCAGTGGCTTAAATTAGTAAAGTTCTCATTTTTTTTATTTAACAGGGAGTTAAGATAGAGACAATTTAGAGCAGGAACCACAGTTTAGCAATCCTCCTGTCTTCCTGCTCCATGATGTTTATTGTCCTTATGGTCCCAAGATGGTTGCTGAATCTCTAGACATCAAGAAGGCAGAAAGGCCAAAAGTCATCTTATGAAGCTTTGTCTTTTTATTTGGGGAGGGAGCTCTACTTACAGATCTCTCTCTATATCTAACGGGCTACACCTGTGTCGCATGGCCCGCCATAGCTGCAAGAGTTGGGGATTTGAATATTTTTAGATAGTAATTAAGTTGTGTTAGTAAGGATTAAGGGGCTTATGTGTATTGAAAAAACAGTTAGCTGTGTCTTCCACTAGGATGTATATATATTTTTAAAGATTTTATTTATTTAACAGACAGAGACACAGTGAGAAGGGGAACACAAGCAGGGGGAGTGGGAGAGGAGAAGTAGGCTTCCCACCGAGCAGGGAGCCCAATGTGGGGCTCAGTCCCAGGACCCTGGGATCGTGACCTGAGTTGAAGACAGATGCTTAATGACTGAGCCACCCAGGCGCCCCAGGCTATATATTTTTTTATATTAAAACAAAAGTTTTCCAAGTTCTAAACAAAAAATGTTTAAGTAAACTTGTAGAGTGTAACCACTATTTTTTTTTTTAGATTTTATTTATTTTATTGGACAGACAGAGATCACAAGTAGGTAGAGAGGCAGGCAGAGAGAGAGAGAGAGAGAGGAGGAAGCAGGCTCCCTGCCAGTATTTTTAATGGGGCTGTATACAGAAGGCACTTAAACACCAACTGCAAAGTAGTTACTTTAGGAAAAGTCATTTTGTGTCCCTGCTTCGCAAACATGATCCCCCCAGTATCATCCCAGTGGCGATAGAATTGTCCCCATTCCCTTATTTAATTGGTTGTGACATCAGAGTCAGAAGGCATATTAGCTTCATGGCAGTCGCGTTCAGTGGAAGTGCTGTAGGCCTGGTAACATCCCGGGTGCGGTAGCACTGGAGTCTCCGCTGGATTGCTGGGGTGACAGAGTGAGAGCCATAAGAGAGGGAGAACAGTAGGAAGTGAGAATTAGTACGAAACACAGAGTATATTTTTGTACCCAGTGCTTGTTGGTTCCTTTGTCTGTCTGGGGACAGGAAGCCTTGTGTTGATAGTAATCATATTCCGGGAAAAATATCAGGAACTTCTTGCCCAATTACAAAATACAGGTAGAGACACTGTTGCCTATTTCCTGTCACATTTTAAAAATGAAATTCATCACATTGACCTTTTTCCTTTCTTTTTGAAGGAAATGTAATAAAGTTTACTGGATCACTCATTTTAGGGTAAGTGTCAACTATGAAATGTTCATTGGCTTCTTTATGCTATTTGAAATCCCAGTGGAAGTGGTTTACAGTGGCATGGGGTGGCAAATAGGTATAGATTTTGGAATTAGGCAGATTAATCACTGGTTTTACCACTTCAGTGGCGTCTCGATCCAGTTACTTAACTGGCTGAGAGGTGTCTTATCTTTGGTCCAAGGGTACAATGAGGATTCTACCCACCAGGCACTGTTGCTCGGAGAAGAGCACTGGACTCCATATGGGGCAGGGGCTCACTGATTCGCTTTCCCATATCTAAAATCACATCTTGTGTTAGGTTCTAACATGGGTCAGAGAGGTGAAAATTGACTGTAGCAAAAATTATTTTTGAAAACCCCTTAAATCACCATAGAGCTCTCATGAAAGAAGATTGAGGCTGGCCAAGAAAACCAGCAGTTTGATATCTTTCATCTGATGCTCTTCAGAGGCGCATGCTTAATGAATGGAGTGACCTTCTTCCCCTTTTTTGGAAGGGGGTATACATGTTAATATATGTCTAATACTATTCCACTGTATTTGTTAATACTCTTTTTCACTATTATACATATAACATCATATGTATACACACACATACATATACAACTCTGAGATGCTCAGATGTTATAGGAGATGCACTTGGCATTTTATTCAAATATATACATTTCTCCATGACACTGATACAAGACAAAACACAGTTAGATGACTTTCCCCTTTGAATCATTCCAGGCAAAAGATATAGTCATGTACTTTGTCTGTTTCACAATTATATTCAGGAATCTAATGAAAATTAATCGCATAATTTCTAGTAAAGAATTTTGTCTTTCATGGAAAGCACAATAAAAATATTGAATGCATTTGCTCTTTTTGGGTGCTCCGATCTCTCAGAGATTTTTTTTTTTTAATTTATTTATTTTAGAGAGAGACAGAAACAGAGCACAAGCAGGGGGAGAGGCAGAGGGAGAGGGAAAAGCAGACTCCCCACTGATCTGGGAACCTGGCACGGGGCTCGATCCCAGGACCTGGAGAGCATGACCCACGCAAAGGCAGATACTCAGCCATCTGAGCCACCCAGGCAGCCCGAGGAGAGGATTCTTTAGAGCTTTCTAAAGCTCTAAGGGACAGTGTCTGTCCCTTCTGTCTCACCTGCTTTAACTTTGGGGTATAAATCAAAGGTCAGGAGAATATATGGTATATTCTTTTTTTTTTTTTTTTAAGATTTTATTTATTCATTTGACAGAAAGCTCACAAGCAGGCAGGGAGGCAGGCAGAGAGAAAGGAGGAAGCAGGCCTTCCGCGGAATAGAGAGCCCGATGTGGGGCTCGATCCCAGGACCCTGGGATCATGACCTGAGCCGAAGGCAGAGGCTTTAACCCACTGAGCCACCCAGGCACCCCTATATGGTATATTCTTAGTATAACTGATGGTACACAGCCCTGAATCCAGACAGTGCAGCCTTTGTGTCTGGATTTAGGGAGTGTGTATGTCAGTCTGATCAGGAAAAAAAAACACCTTCATTTTGGGTACAAAACAAAGAACATTGTATTTCACAACGAAAAATTGACTTTAGGCATAGCTCTTAGGAGAAATATGTTGGTGATGGGAGTACAGATTGGCTAAACTTTTTAGAAAAGGAGTTTGGCAGTACCTAATCAAGTTGAATAGTATGTATACTGTCAGAAGGTCTGTAATTCTCCTCCTTAGATGAGTATCCCAGAGCAACATATACACATGTGTACAGTGTGGATGTGTAAGGTGTGTAACGGGATTATTTGTAACAGACTCGAACTAGAAAGTCCCCGAATGCCCTTCTGTGGTAGGATGGGTAAGCTGTGGTATAGCCATCCCATCACCGAGTCACATACCATATGAAAATATAAATGTACGAACTCCTGATACAGCAGCCCCATGAGCAAATGTCACAGACAAGAGCAGAAGAATATGTACAGTGTCCCTCCATCCCGATGAAGCCCACAGACAGACAAAATAAGCTCTGTTGTTTAAGGATGCACGTATAGATGGCAAAGTATAAAGCGAAACAAGGACATTATTGTAATAAAAGTCAAAGTAGTAACTAGCTATAGAGATGAGAAAGTGGGTCAGTATGGGGGAAGGGTACAATGTGGACTTCTGGGGTACTGTTAATGCTTTTTGCCTGGATATTGTAATTATTATTATTTTAAAAGATTTTATCTATCTATTTGATAGAGATCACAAGTAGGCAGAGAGGCAGGCAGAGAGAGGGGGGGAAGCAGGCTCCCCGCTAAGCAGAGAGCCCAATGCGGGGCTTGATCCCAGGACCCTGGGATCATGACCTGAGCTGAAGGCAGAGGCTTAACCCACTGAGCCACCCAGATGCCCCTGTAATTATTATTATTCACTAAGTGGACACATTTGTGCTTGCATTTATATGTATGTATATAGAATCTGTTATATGTATACATACTCTTATGTATGTGTATATATTGTTTCCCAACAAGGAGAATGAAAAATTCCACAACAGAAAGCTTATTAAAAAAGACTGGCTCAATCAATAGGGTATATGTTGAGGAAATTTCTCTTCATCATGGGATGCAAATCACTAGTGTATATAAAACTTTTCGTTCCGAAAGCTTGATTTCACTCAGTGTTTACTAAGCATTTATTTTTCCCATCCTTTTTTTGGGAAATTCTGCCCTTCAGCCTTTTTTCACCACTTGCAGGAAATATTATTCCCAACCCATAGGTTCAAGAGCTCGGCTATTGCATAAGTCGAGCCATTCAGTTTATGTAGTGCTCAGTAATCTGATGAGCTCTGTAACCAATATCATGCTGTTACTCTGTCATGTAAAGAAAAAAAAAAGTGGCTCTTGTGTTACCTTTAGATCATGTATTTATAATGAATTTTTTGTTCCTTTTACAGCGGTTCTTTATTTCTTACCTATGAAATTTGGGCCCTGAAGAAATCTTTGACGTTAGATACTCAAGTAGTAGAAAGAGAAAAAATGAAGTCCTATATATATGTGCACACAGTTTCTTTAGATGACAGAGAAAATTATGGTAAGTTTATGGTAAAGTAACCCATTTCTGTGAAAAACGGGAGCTAGTTATTAACTTTTAAAATGACTATTAAAAACACAATATTAACAAGGTAGGTTTAGCTCATTCTAGGAGTCAACAAATCCTATGAGAACCAAATTCCTAAAGAAGTAGTTGAAGACCAAATTTTGGACTTCCATATTTAACTCAGGTTTGCAACTCTCCCTAGCCGGCTGTTTTAATCTAAACTTGGAATTCCACACCGTAGTGGAGGTCAGGTCAGAGGCTGGCCTTCAGTTCGCCAAGTATAGAAACATGATTTTGTCACTTAGCTCAGTTATATTCTTGGCCTCAAGGGATTTATTCATGCAAACTAAAATCATGACATGGATTCATAAATCTGAATACCAGCTTATTAAAGAGAGAAAAAAGAGTTTGTCAGGAGGCTGGAAAACTTGTCTTTACTAGTCCGAACATTCCTCTTCTCTGTATTTAGGTCACAGGGAAAACTAATTAGTAACCAGACAGTTGCCTCTTGAACATAAACTTTTAGAGCAGAGGCCTATCTTTTCATCAAAGTATGTGTAGCTTGGTGAGTCACTACCCTTGACTTACAGCTGCCTGTTCCTATAGTGTTGGCCAGACTAACCTTGTCTGTTACAACATTATATTCTCTGAGTGGGGCAGATTCCACTCTTTCCTTTCTACAGCTGTATAAATCACCATCTGTCCTGTTTGTATTTATTGTCACACCTAGTGTGTTACAATTTCAATTACACAGATAATTTTTACGGTTTACAATTTATCCATATAGCAAAGCTTTATCTCCATAGTAGGGCATCTCCATAGTTAGGTATTTCCAAATTTCAGTTTGGGAAGGGCTGTTGTTCAGGGACACTTCCTGAATGTAGCTGATCTTATGTCGCATCTGAGAATTTGTTAGCTTTAGTTCGTGTTTTTGTTTTTGTTTAGTTTTTAACCTTTTTCCAGACCTGGAGAGCAGTCTTATTTTGGAATCTAGAGCTCTGTGTTCACATAATGGTTTTAGTTGTTTTGATAGTGACCCTAAAAAAGTATTTTATATTTTTGGAAAAAATTTAGAGTTTATACATTTTTCTTTAAAATAGGGAAGTGTAGCATTAAGAGTATATACTTGGTTTTATATTAATTTGTAATCATCTTAGGAGTCACCTACCAGGCAAGAAAAGAGCTTCACAAAGCGGTAAGAAAAGTATTGGCAACATCAGCCAAGATACTGCGCGGCCCATTTGCTGGTAAGTATCAAATATTTAACTTGGAGTCTTTATCAATGATCTGAAAGTCATCTGATGATCAACTTGAGGTCTTTTTTTCTTATCCCATTTCTTATACTGACATTTTTTATAGCTATGGAAAATTGAGTGACATTATTTTCTTGGGCTATATTTAATTTTAAGGGTGATTTTAATTTTGTTGCTTTGGACAGCCTTCTTCTTTCCACTTTGTGGATGTATTACTGTTAATTATAAATAAATATTGACACTAAATATAACCTTTTCTCTTAAGTGCTTTAAAATTTTAAATTTGTTAGAAAATCACTCCCTACTTTCTCATAATGAGAATATTGCATCAATAATGTAGATTTTACAAACAAATCTACAATTAGAGCTAGATATGGAAGAGCTTATTTGATCTCTTTAAAAAGTTGCCATCCTCAGGTCATGATCTCAGGGTCCTGGGATCGAGCCCCGCATCGGGCTCTCTGCTCAGTAGGGAGCCTGCTTCTCCCCCTCTTTCTCTGCCTACTTGTGATCTCTCTCTCTCCGATAAATAAATAAATAAATAAATCTTAAAAAATAAAAAAATAAAAAAATAAAAAGTTGCCATCATGAAAGAGAAAGGTGAGAAATTTTTCAAGAATTAAAAGATACTAAAGAGACTTAATCAAATCCTGGTTTTAAAGAACAGCACTGAAAGTATATTTTGAACACTTGGAGAAATTTGAATATGGAGTTAGACTGGATTTTAGATGGTTTTGGAAGATTTTCATTAATGTATGTGGGTGTTGTCATGGCATTGTGAGTATATTGGAGAAGGCAGGCTTATTCTTAGGAGATGCGGGTTGACTAAGAAAGGATCAAATGTTCCATCTGCAACTTCCTTTCACATGTTTTAGAGAAAAAATACACATCCATATAGATTAAGCAAATATGGAAACATGAAATTTATTAAATATAGTTGTAAACATATGGTTGTTAATGTATTATTCTTTTAATTCTTCCATATGTTCAATATTTTTCACAGTGAAAAGTTTTTTTTTTTTAAGATTATTTATTTATTTATTCGTCAGAGAGAGAGAGAGAGTACAGGCAGGCAGAGGCAGGGGGAGAAGCAGGCTCCCTGCAGAGCAAGGAGCCCGATGTGGGACTCGATCCCAGGAGACTGGGATCATGACCTGGGCCGAAGGCAGCCACTTAACCTACTGAGCCACCCAGGCATCCCCACAGTGAAAAGTTTTTTAGGGAAAAAGAGCAGCAACAAAAAAGAGACGAGGTTGTGAAGGCAACGTAGTATATAAAACAAAAGCACATGATAATCTACAAAATAAATATTAACAAAATAATATGACAGAACTAGAACAAACCTATCAGTCACTATTAGTGCCTGGAAATGGAATTCAGTCTCTTATTATAGATTTCAAGTGCTTACAACTTATCATCCTAAGTAAGTGGGAGGACAACATGTTTTAACTGTTCACACTGTTTATGTTGTCTTCTTCTTTTTTCTTTTTGCAAAGACCCCTTTAGTACAGTTGATGTCGAGGATCACGAGTGTGCTGTGTGGCTGCTCCTGAGGAAGAGCCAGTCGGGGGACAGAGCCGCGCGGCTGCAGGCCGTGCAGGAAATGTCGGAGACCCATCACTGGCACGGTAACGCGGCCCTCCGAGCCCCTGCCGCGCCGCCTGCTTGCTTCTGTTTGCTGATACAGGGGACGGAAAGGAGATGTCGGGGAAGGAAAATGATTCAGGAAATCTGAATATGAAAATTTTAAAAAAGGAACTCCATGGATAGAGAAAGTAGGAAACTGCTGGCCTGGTAGCCAGATTGTTTGATAAGAACAGGCTCAAAACTGAGGAAGATGTATTTGTGTAACTTTCTACCAGAATGAAGTTTTACCTGATTAGAGAAACTCTTGGTGCTGATAGTGATAGCCTTATTCTATATTTGCATTTTCTTTTGGTTCATGTTTAACAAAATATATTTTAATTGCTTGCCACACCATAGAGTCATACTTGTTTTCACTTCGGCAAGTTACTTTGCTTTAAGACTGAGTCAAATGTACCTGATTCGTGTGTGTGTGTTATTTTTAAAGGAAGATTTAAAATATTTAATTGTATTTAAAAATTGCGAGTTCTGCAGTAAAGTACATGAGCAAGAGTTCAGATCTGCTCTGATTATAGTACAGGGACTAAAGTATACTCAATCAGTAGAGTCATCTTATAAAATGGGGTAAACAAAAAAATATTTTCAGAGAAAATATCTTTGCCTCCATACAAGTTGAATTGATTGGTGGCTGTAATTACAGTAACTTATATTTTTTTAATTTTTATTTTTTAAAGACATATTTTTTAAAAGTTTATTTTTTTGACACAGAGAGGACACAAGCAGTGGGATCAGCAGAGGGGGAGGGAGAAGCAGGCTCACCTTGAGCAGGGAACCGATATGAGACTCGATCCCAGGACCCTGGGATCATAACCTGAGCCGAAGGCAGATGTCCAACCAACTGAGCCACCCAGGTGCCTCTAATTACAATAACTTATAATATTATATATTTATATACATATATATATAAAATATTAAATAACTTATAAGCTTTTTCACTGTGAGTGGAGACTTAGAATAAAAATCTTTTTAAAAATGTAGGGGTGCTTGGGTGGCTCAGTCAGTTAAGCATCTGCCTTTAACTCAAGTCATGTTCTCAGGGTCCTAGAATCGAGCCCTGCATAGGGTTCCCTGCTCAGCGGGGATTCTGCTTCTTTCTCTCCCTTTCCCCCTCTCCCCCCACCCCCTGCTTGTGCACACACTGTCTCTCAAAATAAATAAATAAAATCTTTAAAAAAAGTCTACCTCCAGGACTCCATTTCAGACTTACCATATCAGAAAAATCAGAGTTGGAGCCCAGGCACATAGATTTTGGGAGAGTTCCCCACTTGATCTTAAAGAACTCACTCAGGTTATGAACTGCCATTATTAAAATAATGTCTGCTTCAGGGGTTGTAATTTTGTTTTCGATACATAGTTTAGTCCATTCGGGCTGCGGTAACAATACTGTCGACTGGGTGGCTTATAAACAATAGAAATTTTGTTTCTTACTGTTGTGTAGGCTGGTAAGTCCCAAGGTCATAGTGCCAGCAGACTTGCTATCTGGTGAGGACCTGCTTCCTGGTTCAGAGATGACCAGCTTTTCACTGTGTGTCCTCATGTGGCAGAGGGGACAAGGGATATCTCTGGGTTTCTTTTATAAGGACAGTAATCCCAGTCATGGGGGCTTCCAAGGGTTCCCACCTCCAAATACCATGACATCGGGAAATTTCAACTTATGATTGGGGGTGGGGACACAGTCATTTAGAGCAATACATGAAGGCTGGACTGGTTAAATCATGAAGGCTCAGACAAAGCACGACCATCTGGAACCTCAGATTGCTCATGGACATGACGGGTTGCAAAGCACCACACCGTACCAGTGACATAGATCTCAGTGCAACCTCAGTTGCACTGAGGTTTTTAAAGTAGTGATCAAAACAGTTTTTAAACACTAGAATTACTACAAAGAAAAGGAGAAGCAGTTCAACCGGTTCTGACCTATCAGTTTTCGCATTTGAAGTTCATTTCTTCGAAAAGGTTGGACCGCGATATACCTACATATGTGGTGAGGAGAATTGTGAGATCAGGCGTGGAAATGTTGGATATCTGGGTTACCAGTATGTAAATGCAGTTGTAATTATGTAAAGAGACTTGGGAAATTTTGAATCACAAACTTGTAGTCTAAAAATTAAGTGTGCATTTAATTCTTAAAACAACTATAAGCTAATTTGTGTGCTAACAACATACCTTTACAATAGATTACCAGTACAGGATAATTGCTCAAGCCTGTGATCTGAGAACTCTTATTGGTTTGGCCCGAAGCAAAGAGAGTGATCCTCGCTTTTTTCTCCCACCACCTCCTTTGCCGTCTTTAAAAGAAGTAAGTAAATAAAATAGTCCAGTGAGTGAAAAGTAGATTAATATTTCATCTTCACTTTGGGTGCAAAGTAACCATTCAAAAAGTAGTCTGTCAGCTCCTTTTCACAAGCAGGTAAACTAGATATTAACCGGAAATTGTAGTTCCTATACAAAGATTTCTTGATTTACCAGGAGATGTTGTTTCTCTTGTGTTATTTTCCCCATTTGGGCGTTGTGAGTCTCTGTACACCAGTGGGGAACTTCATAGCCAATCAACATCAATGAATTAGTTCTAATATTGAACTAATCAGTGAACTAGTTCTAATATTGCTCTAGATCAGTTTTTCTCAACTGTACTGACATTTTGGGCCTAATAATTCTTTGTTGTGGAAGTTGTTCTGTACATTGTAGGATGTTTAGCAGCATCCCTGGTCTACTCACTGGATGCCAGTAGCAATCCCCTCAGCTGTAACAACCAAAACTATCCCCAGACACTGCTGACTGTTTACTGGGGGTGCAGAAAGCCCCCAGAGAACCATTACCTGTAGGTATTAATATATCACTCTGCATAGGTTTTTACTAACCACCACATATAGATATTAATGCATTAGCCCCCATAGATATTAATTATTAACCACTAATAGGTATTAGAGCATGCTTCTTCAGCACCTTTCTGAGGCTTTCCTAGAAAAGGAAATCTGAAAACTTGCAATCAGTTGTTGAAAAATAGAAAAATGGATATGCTAGATGTAAGTTATTAGAGAAAATCAGATAGTAATGAGTTCTGGATTTAAAGAAGCAAGATTTAGGTAGAAAAAGTGTAATAATCCATTTTGAGCCAAGAGCTAAACTTTGCCTTAGGGCTCTCAGACTGAGGCAGCAGACAGAAGTACAGAACTCAGAATTAAGTGATTCACTATGTGCTTAGGTGGGCCACAGTTTTCAAGACTAAAAGTTCTCCTTTATCCCTGCTCTTTTGTTTTGGCAATGATTCTTCGGTACTTTTGTTGTGCTTAGTTGTGGAGCTTAATTATGAAGACTTTCTTTTCCTTTTATGACAGGATTCTTCCATTGAAGAAGAGCTCAGACAGTTGCTGGCTTCTCTACCTCAAACGGAGCTAGATGAGTGCATCCAGTATTTTACATCTTTGGCTCTGAGTGAAAGCAGTCAAAGTCTGGCAGCTCAGAAGGTTAGCTCATTTCTTCATTCAGTAAATATTTTGGAGTGCCTGCCCACCCTTTCTAGAATACTGTGCCAGGGGCTAGCACGTAGAACGTTAAAATAGTCACCAACCAGGAACAGAATAAACGTGTTGGCTCCTGGTTGTGTGCCAGGCCCTGTCCGCGATGGTGGGGAGATGGGAAATAAACAAAATCCTAGAAGGTGTAAGAGAGATTACAGGTCACTCTGAGAGCCCTTCGCTTTGCTTAGGAAGTCATGTAAGGCTCCATGGAGGGGACTCTGAAGTCACATCTGGAAGAATGAATAGATACTAATTTGCAAGATTTTAATTATCATCTACATGCTGCTGATGGGTATCTCTGATCCTACATTCTAACCCAAGTGCTCAATTTGAATCTTCAACTTCCTGCTTGTTGTCTCTGCTCAGATGTCTAATCGATGTCCCAAACTCAACTTGTTGAGCCCACCCTTCCTCTGCTAAGCTTTCTTTCCTTTCGCCTTTCCATCTGGGTAAATGGCATGGCATCCAGCAGCTCCCTAGTTGCTCGAGCTAACGGCTAGGAGCTCCTGTTCTTCCTTCCTTCCGCATTCAGCCCGTCTGTGGTTCCTGCGAGCTGTCGCTTCAAGTACAGCCTGAGTCTGTCTGCCTCCCGGTCTGCGCTGTAACTACTCCCCATGGCTGCCATCACGTCTTTCTCATACTGTCCTGTTCGTTCATCTTGGCTGTGTTCTTGCTGTCGTTTTTAAGATAATTTCAAAGTCTCTTTCAGAGTCTTCTTTTTTTTTTTTTTTAAAGATTTTATTTATGTATTTGACAGATCACATAGCAGGCAGAGAGGCAGGCAGAGAGAGAGGAGGAAGCAGGCTCCCTGCTGAGCAGATAGGCCGATGCGGGGCTCGATCCCAGAACCCTGAGATCATGACCTGAGCTGAAGGCAGAGGCTTAACCCACTGAGCCACCCAGGCACCCCCAGAGTCTTCTTTTATTTTAGTTTACTGGGGTGTTAATTACCATTTGGGGTGGCGTTGACCCTCTTGTATTAGATTGCGGGTTGACATGGGTTATGTATTTTTACTGTGAATTTGTCTTTTGCCGAACAGATCACTTTCTGTGGGAGTCCCAAGCACCCTGGATTGTAAATCTGTCCTCCCAGAGCAGCCTTTGTGTTTACTTCCGTCAGATACCCCAGGGGTTTCACTGTTGCTGAACTAGTTTGATATTCATCCCCTGGTTTGGGATTCCTGTGGCACATGGGGAGTGTAAATTCAGACACACCTGTGGATGATATAGTCTTAGGGTTGATTTCTCATCCAGAGCCCCAAGCAGAAACAGACTCTTCTCATTGCTTTCATGAGCTGGTGGGCAGAGTTTTCTAGACTCTCTTAGAGAGAGGGCAAGCTTTCCAGGGCCTTGCCTTTCTATAGGTATCTCAGGTTTAATTCCCATTGAACGTGAGACCCAAAACCACATCTCTTGCTCTGAACAAGTGGTAAAGTCCCGTCCAAGGAGCCTGCAGGCATTTTACAGTACCGCCCTGTGCTCGCCGCTTCTGCTGAAGATTCTGCTTTTAGTCTGTCATCTGAGGACTCGCCTTTATTTCTTCTCCCCATTTTCTTTAGAACTTGGCTGTGTCTTAAAATAGCTTGTATTATATTTCATTAGACATTTCTGATGTTTGTAGTGGGAGGGATTCATTAGAAACCACGTTCAGCATCGTGCTGGATCCAGAAAGCTTTCCTATCACATCTCCATCACCTCAGACACCACAGCAAGCTCCTTACATGTCTCTCCAGTTGTACAGCTTCCCAGCAGCCAGAGTGATTAAAAAAAAAAAAAAAAAGACATGAGTTTGATCCACTCATGCTCCTGCATTAAGCCTTTCAAATGGCTTCCCATTACATACTACGTTTGAGCCCTTTCCTTTTTGTGATCAAGTCATGGACTGGGCCACTCTTTATCAGACTGGCTCCCCTTGGAATGGCGATGAAATTGACAGGCGCCAGTTACAGGATGGAGTTTGCGTAGTGGCAGATGATGTGCGAACAAGGACACCGGACACACGTCAGAAGGGCACAGGCCAGCATGCCCAGCTGTACGGGTCATCTTATCAGAGCTCTCCCAGTGCTCTAGAGGGTCCTTCACACCTTTGGAGGAAGACTGCCTTCTCTCATGAAAGCCATTCTGATTGAGGGTTTACGTTCTTTCATGTCTTTCACCTCTTTGGTTAGGTTTATTTGGCAAGGAAGAAGGAAAACTTTCATTATTTGCAGATGACATGATATTCTGTATTGATAACCCAAAAGACTCCACCAAAAAATTGCTAGAACTGATACACGAATTCAGTAAAGTTGCAGGATACAAAATCAACGTACAGAAATCTGTTAGATTTCTATACACCAGTAATGAAGCAGCAGAAAGATAAATCAGAGTCAGTCTCGTTTATAATTACACCCAAAACAATAAGATACCTGGGAATAAACCTAAACAAAGAGGTGAACGCCTTTTTTAAAAAAAACAAAAGTAGCATGTCTTTATTTTTTTTTAAGATTTTATTTATTTATTTGACAGACAGAGATCACAAGTAGGCAGAGAGGCAGGCAGAGAGAGAGAGAGGAAGAAGCAGGCTCCCTGCCGAGCAGAGAGCCCAATGTGGGGCTCGATCCCAGGACCCTGGGATCATGACCTGAGCCGAAGGCAGAGGCTTTAACCCACTGAGCCACCCAGGCGTCCCAAGTAGCACGTCTTTAATTAAACATTAAAAACATATCAACACATTTAACTTAGTTTCAGTTCTGAGGCCCCATCTCATCGGACCAATAAATAACTCTGTTTTAGTTCTCATTTCCCCCCTCCCTGCTCCCCTGCTGATTTAGTCAGGCTTCTCAGATTTTTTTTACTTACCAAGAAGTTGTGAGTGAAGAGATAGGAGGGTTGTCCATCTGGTTTTTAGAGATCTGCCAAAGCTGCCTTGTAGTCTCCTGGCACCTTTCAAGGGGCAATACGCTGCTTCTGTACAGAGCTACCTCCTCGGGAGGCTACTCGGCCTGGGCAGATAACTGACAGCTGTCTGGTTTTAGAGCCAGGCTTCCTCACCTTTGTATACCATGGACCCCCTTTCTGGTGATTTAGTGAAGTCATTTCTAGATGCGTAAAATGCAATACGTAGGGTTACAAAGGAAACCGATTATATTGAAATACTCTTACCAAAAATAATACATGTACTTCTTTTTGATGCGTTAAATAGCATTACATTTAAAACAAAGTTGAAGTTTATTTTAAAAATATTTTAACGTTTAATTTTGAAGTAATTTCAAACTTTAAGAATTGTAGAAATAATTACATTTCACTAACATACACCAATTATTACTATTTTGCCCCATTTGTTTTCTGACCCCCCCCATTTACTCCCCATCTCTCTGTGGGTATATTTTATATGTCTGTTCACACACATTTACTGTTTTCCTCCCTGAACCATTTGAGAGACATAGAAGTGATGTTCTTTTGCCTCTTAAAGACTTAAGTATGTATTTCCTGACAACATGGACATTCTGAGATATGACCACAATACAGATATCAAACTTAGAAAATTAACATTGAGGGCGCCTGGGTGGCTCAGTGGGTTAAGCCCCTGCCTTCGGCTCTCGTCATAGCTTCAGGGTCTTGGGGTCGAGCCCACAGGGAGCCTGCTTCCCCCTCTCTCTCTGCCTGCCTCTCTGCCTACTTGTGATCTCTCTCTCTGTCAAATAAATAAATAAAATCTTTTAAAAAAATTAACATTGATAGAATACTGTGCTCTAATACAGACTCCATGGTTGAATTTTGCCAAGTATCCCAGTAATTCTTTCACAGCAGCTTATTTTTTTTTTGTTTTCAGTCTGATCTGTGTCTAAGGATGAAAAATCACACCTGATGGTCATGTCTCCTTTTATCTGGAAAAAATGCTTCAGCCTTTCTTGGTCTTCATGTCATTGACATTTCTGAAGACTACAGAGTAGCAGTTTGCAGAGTGTCCTCAGTTTAGTGTGTCGCACGTGTCCTCAATTTAGTGTGTCGCACGTGTCCTCAGGATCAGAGTCCGCTTCTGCATTTATCGTAGGAGTAGGGCAGAGGTGACCTGTGTCCTTCCCACTCTGCTGCCACATCCAGAAACACAGGAGGCCAGTTGGTCCCCTTGTTGCTGATGTTAACTTGCCAGGTTTCTCTGCTTTGATGTTAATACATGTTTTGTTTATAATGATTATAGGATCTGAGGGGAGAGGGGATGTTTGTGGCTATTAGTCTATCCTGTGCCTCTTCGAACTTTCAGACGATGGTTTCAGTATCCTTTGAATAAATTGTGCCTGATAATGGTTATTCTTGGATGGTTGCAAAATGGTGATCTCCCCCTGCTCAACTCAGACAATCCCTTTTTACTTCTGTCCTGTAAGGAAAAGCTTTCCTTCCTCCTTCCTTCCTTACTGACACATGGATCCAGGGGCTCGTGGATTATTATTTTATTCACTAGATTATAACCTAGTACTACTTCTCATATTGATGCTCAGTGTCACAGATTTGGTATGGGAACTCCTTCAGGTTGCCTTCCATGTGTTTTGAAGTTGTCTCCATTATTTTTTGAGTATCTCCTTATTGTCTGGCATTAGAGAACATTCTAGGCTCCATCTTAAACTTTCTGTGCTCCAGCTCTGGAGTGAGCCGGATCTTCAAGAAGCCCTGGTTCCTTCCAGGCCAGTGGTTGTTGGAAACCAGCTCTTGGGTGTAAGTTTGCTCGTTGCTGCAGGTATTGCTTTTAGACTTTTTCAGGGACAGAGTTGGGAAAAATTGCAATTTCTTGTGGTTCAATTCAATATGTAAATTTTGGTTTTTAAAGCCATCAGTGTATATGCTGTTGTTGCTTGGTTGAATAATAATATTAAACTGAGGACTAGTCTGTCCATGTATGGGTCTCAGATAACTGCTGGTGGGTGGACACTAGATGGCAGTGTCATGTCTGGGCCACCAGTATGAGCATGGGCAGTTGGCATTCAAAGGAATGAAGATCCTGGCGTTACTCTAGGAGAGCTGCAGCCGATAAGATGGGATAGGAAAACATCTGTGCTCTCTGTTGCTGACAGAGCCACACAGATTGCTACTGTTGATACGGTTTACTGTCTGTGTTTTTAATTGAATGCCATGCAAAATTTCCGTGAGATGTCAGGAATAAAGACATAACGTTTTCCCCTCCAAGAATATGCCTTCCCTACCCTGAATTCTGTCTACCCCAGGCTTAAGGAGGACCCCGGGTCAACAATTCCTGTTTTAGAATGATCACCATTTCTAAGCACAGTTGGTTTGCACACATTGCAGAGTTCTGAGGTTGTGAATTTTTATGCAGAAACACTAGAGATTAGCTTTTACACACATTAAAACAAAGGGACCCACAATTAGAAGCAGTATCAAGACTGTCTCTCCCCCTGCTCCCCACCCCTGGCAGTGATCTGCCATCCTTCCTTTTGTTCCTTCTGCTCATTGGGAGAGCTGGGTCAGAGAGAGCAATAGCACTTCCCAGCTTTGCTGTCCCCTCCTTATGGCTACACCCTTGGCAGCCTTCTGCTGTCCACCCGGGGAATTTGTTGACTACAATTCTGCTGGGCATTTGGGGACAGGGAGGGGGTGGTCCTTGGCCTTCCACCATCCCAGATGTTACCATCAAGAGCATTCCTTCTTTGGTGTCAGGATCCAGCTCTCAGTCTCGTTTTGTTTTTGTTACTCTCTGGACACTTCCAATCAGTCAGCTTGTCTGAAATTTCAACCGTTCTTAGAGGACCTCAGGTGTCTGTGACTCAGAGCCTAAGGAAGCAACCAGAGATGCAGAAGTTTGAACATTTTATTCATTTTTTAAAAAGATTCTCTTTATTTATTAGCGAGAGACCTCAAGCAGGGAGGAGGAGGGGAGGCAGAGGGAGAGGCCGACTCCCCACTGAGCAGGAAGCCCAGTATGGGACTCTATCCAGGACCCCAGGATCATGACCTGAGCCAAAGGCAGACTCCTAACCGACTGAGTCCCCCCAGGCGCCCCAGTTTGAACATTTTAGATTGTGCTTGCTTTTTCATCTACTGTGATGAGCTGCCTAGAGTCAGGAGAACAGTGAATGTGGTACCTCGAAATGATGTCCCATCACAAAGCTTTTGTGGTCTTGGCTTAAGGACAGCCCAGCGAAAATCCTGCAGTTTTAGTATTATCATTCGCCCCTGTAATTTCCTGGTTTGTCTGAAATCAGCTTAGGTATTAGGGTCTGAAGTCCTTGCATCAAGACACTTCTGACATCTATCTGCATAAGCATAGCAACGTGTTAGGATTGAGAGACACCGACAGATTGGTTTAAGGATGGGAGATTGCTTTAACGACCGAGGATTTAGAAACCTACAGATGCGTACACAAAAAAGGAAACTGTGAAGCTCGCTTTCCCATAGCTGGACAGGCTTTGCCAGTCCTGCAGTTCCCCATGACATACAGCTGTGCACACTGAGGATTCTTTGTTGGAACGAACCCATCATTGTCATCTTAAACTCCCCGTCCCTCCCCTTCTCCCAGCTTTGGTTGTGAGTAAATCTCATCAGTTGTAAGTAACAAAGAAAGCAAACACAGCTTATTTCTAAGTGTTTCAAGAAAATGGATAATCATTCTCAGATGTCACATCTCCTAGCAGCCCTCGGTGTCAGCTTACCTGAATCTGTTTCTTCACCGCCTTTCTAACCGTCCCCTCCCGCAGGCTCACTCTCCCTCATGCTCACGCCTATGCTCCAGCCACACGGGCTTTTCCTCTCCAGTCCTTGAACTTGCGAAGTGTTTATCTGCTCGCGCTCCCTCTGCCTGGGATTCTTTGCCACCCAGCTTGTCACATGGCTGCCTCTTTGTCCTCCAGCTCTCAGCTTGTCAGCTCCACAGAGAGACCTTCCTCTTTATCGCAGATGTTTATTGCATTTATTGTCCTTCTAGCATTCATCCCATTTTATAATTATACTCTATATTTCTTTGTTTACTTGCTTCATCCTCTTACTCCCTTCCAGTAGGCTTTAATAATCTCCCAGGTACCAGCCTCCCACCCAATGTGTTCTCGATAAATATTTATGGAATAATGAATGAATCATGAGAGCCAGCTGTGCACAGATGTATACATACTTAAGTAACAACTGGCATATTTCTTTTATGAATCAAAGTATTTTTGTATGACAGACAAAAATGGAGATACTGTTTAATCGGAGTTGTAGGTTATGTGGTAAGAAAATTTCTATTGTGTATTAAGTCATTTGGCTGTTATAAACTCGTTGAGATGCATTTGAAATATACACACAGTTATGTTGTGTCTCACATTGAATATCATAATAAACAATTATACATAAAATGCTTTGTTACACATAATTAATATGTGATATGGATATAAATTCTTTAGTAACTTGTTTTATTAGTTGACATTTCCTCTTACGCTTTATTGTTATGATTGCCTTCTAATTTTTATACCTTACCCTTGTTATTGTTTTTAACAGTGTCACTCTTTCTTTCCTTTCCTCTTCATTTCTTTAATCCCTAAGAGATCATTTTTTAGTTTGTATTTACGGAATTTGATGTATGGCATTTCTTAAATTTTTACAAATTTATGTAATCTTGCTCTATCTTAATCCAATGATAAAGCAGTGGTAACCTATTGATTTATTTTTGTGTTAAGAATGAGAATATACGGGGGCGCCTGGGTGGCTCAGTGGGTTGGGCGTCTGCCTTCGGCTCAGGTCATGATCTCAAGGTCCTGGGATCAAGCCCTGCATTGGGCTCTCTGCTCAGCGGGGAGCCCGCTTCCCCCCTCTCTCTCTGCCTGCCTCTCTGCCTCTTTGTCAAATAAATAAAATTAAAAAAAAAAAAAAAGAATGAGAATATAGGGGGGTGCCTGGGTGGCTCTGTTGGTTAAGTGTCTCCCTTTGGCTCAGGTCGTGACCCCTGAGCCCTGGGATTCAGCCCCACCTTGGGCTCCATGCTCATCAGGGAGCCTGCTCTTCTCTCTCCCTCTGCCTCTGCTTCCCCCGCTTGTGCTCACTCTCTCTCTGAAATAAACAAAAGAAATCTTTAAAAAAAAAAATAAGAATTAGAATATAATCCATATGACCACACCACGAGTTTGCACCTTTTATTCGTTTCTTTTGCTTGTGCTTCTCACGACCACACAATCTGTCGGTTCACAAATAACTTTGAAGCTTTGCCGATGAGGTTGGAATTGGAACTGTATTCTTATATCCCACTTAGAAAATGATCAAGAGAACGCAGAGTCCTAGGTAATTTTTTTTCCTTCTTCTTTTTCTTTCCTTTGAGCATTTAGCTTAGAGGTCAGATGATTTGAGGGTGTGAGGTAGGGAGAGGGATTTGGGGGAGGCAGGTTGTGGTGGTGGATGTTTAAGATAAGTTCCCCATCCCCCAGAACCCACCACTCCACTATTTGCCCGTATGTCTGCTAGAGGAAAGAGTGACTCTTTATGAGTTAGTCCCTTCCCAGCCCTCTATTGAAAGAGCATAAATATTTGAGATTAAAGCATGTTTAAACTTGGAAAAGCAGAATGTTACGTCAGAGAGGATGGCAGGAGTAAGAATTATAGAATGGTCAAACATTTTGTTTACTAGGTTTACCAAACCATGGGCCCTGTACATTAGCTCAAAGTGCAGAAATTTATGGATTCTGTTTCCTATAGGATACGCTGGGCTTTCTGTACACATTTTTGAAGAACATTACCTTGTAGTTGAGCTCTTCTACCAGCAGGTGGCCTCTATGCACAGTCGCCGCCCCTCGTTCAACTACAAAGCGCTTCAAAGGAGCTACAGTCATTAGTCTTCCTTCCATCTCCCCCACACCCCCCTACACACCCTCACATGGTTACACTTAGTCTCTCACAGATTGTAGCCTATGATACACTCTTCTGCCCCTTTTTCTCACTTGAGGGTTTGTGTTGGAGATTGGTATCAATATATGAGCAGACTCAGATTTTCATGTTCACCTAGCATTCCGTCGTACGGGAGTCCCATCACGATTTAACCAGCCTCCTGTTGAGGGCAGTTCGTCCTTTCAGTCTTTCGTGCTTACAAACGTTGCTGCAGTGAACAAACCTGTACTTGCATCACTTTGCCTTTGTGGGTCTCGGTAGGGTGAGCTGTTGAAGGGCCTGCAGTATAGACAGCTGTCCTGAGTTGTCCATCCACGGTGATAGGAGCGCCGGCTTCCCCACGCCTCTGATAGACGGGGACTGTTTCTCACGTAGAGTCACCATGCATGCCTCTCATGAGAGCGGTGTTGGGCCTCGTGTCATAGATTTCCCTTCCTGGGAACTTTCTGTTTATGACTGTTGCTCATTTTTCCGTAGCATCACTGGTATTTTTGCCACCGATTTGTGGGAGAGTATTGCGTACTAGTGACATTAGCATTCGATCTATAGCAAGAGTTGAAATTTTCTTTTCGCACTTCATTCTTATATTTTGCTATTTGATAGGGCTAGTGCACACCCCTGTCTGTCTCATGGCTTTCCTGGCTTTTCTGTTTATTCTTCCATAGGAACTTGAATTTCAATTTAGGAAGAATTAAACGCTCTCAGATCATTGTCATCGGTTATCTTCACTTTAAACTTTCCCAGTACTGCCTTTTCTCTTTATTATTATTTTGAGTAATAGACTTCGGGTAGACTCTGCCAGCGTCATCTTACAGTAGAACATATGGTCCACCCCGGGCTTTTCTTACTTGATAAAGAATTGTGTGTTAGTCTTCTTACATTCAGAGAACAGGACACAGAGGAAAGAAGAAAAACATGAAGATTGCCTCTTCTAGAAATGATTCCTTATGTTTTCTGTTCTAGTAAGCAACAATTTGCATAACTAGTTCCCTTTCAGCTTCCAAAATAGCTCAGGGATTTTTTTTTTGTCAAACAAAAAATATGAGTCACTCTCTTCAGTAAACATTTAATTATCTTTCAGGGTGGCTTATGGTGTTTTGGAGGAAATGGACTTCCTTATGCTGAAAGTTTTGGAGAAGTTCCTTCAGCTACAGTGGAAATGTTCTGTTTAGAAGCTTTGGTAAAACATTCTGAGGTAACTTAAATTTTCAAAATGTGGTTTAGTTTCTATGATCACAATGAAAAAATTGTACATGTTGGCTCATTCAAGGGAAGTAATCCTCATTTTTTGTAGAAGAAAAAAAGCTTTTTGCTTGTTTTAAAATTTCTGCTTCCCCCCCATTTAGTTATTAGAATTGATAATCATAATTTAGCACCAATACACATATTTTTTGCCAAGCATTTCTAAAAATGTATTTAATCTTAATTGCACGTAAAGAAAGTAATCCATTTTCTAAAATATAGCATTGACCTTTGAATTATGCTATCTTCTACTGCCTTTCTCAGATCATTTTTCCAAATAATATTACTAGGTAGTAAAACATCTGCTAGAGATGTAGCATATAGAAAAAAGGTAAATATTTGGATGACCATACTCTTGAATTTTAACCAGAGCATATATTAATGGTTTTAAATTTTTTGGCATTTATGACAACTTTTCTGTCATGATCATATTTTGATTTTATTTGTTTACTTTTATTTATTTTAAAGGTTTTGTTTATTTTTAGAGAGAGCAAGAGAAGGGAGAGGGGCAGACAGAGAGGGAGAGAGAGAATCTCAAGCAAGACTCCTTGCTGAGAGCAGAGCCCTACATGGGGTTTGATCTCAGGACCCTGAGATCATGACCTGAGCTGAAATCAAGAGTTGGATGCCCACCTGACTGAGCCAGGCACCCCCTGGTGCCGTCTTGATTTTATTTTATTTTTTTAAAAGATTTTATTTATTTATTTGACAGAGATCACACGTAGGCAGAGAGGCAGGCAGAGAGAGAGGGGGAAGCAGGTTCCCTGCTGAGCAGAGAGCCTGATACAGGGCTGGATCCCAGGACCCTGAGATCATGACCTGGGCCGAAGGCAGAGGCTTTAACCCACTGAGCCACCCAGGCGCCCTGCCTTCTTGATTTTAAAAAGAAAAAAAGCAACAAACTTTGTGGTGCTCAAACATGAATGTCTAAAAATCACTCTTAAGAAAAAAAAGAAATCACTCTTAAGCATGCTTAAAAGTGCAAGTTTCGTGGTCACCTTTAGATATGGGGTTGTGTCCAGAAATTTGCATTTTAACAGGCATCCCTGGTTGAGGCTTCTGGAAGTGGTCCATCCCACATCATGAGAAACCCCATTCTAGAGCTCTTATATTCTCCAGTTTAATTTTGGGAGCCATTAAACATGGCTCAGAAGTATCTGGTCATCTCTAGTTTCCATCAGTGGGGTTAGGAATTAAGTACAAAGTAGAGGTATTAGCATTGTAGTTCAAAAGGGCATGTAGGAAAATGAGCTGGAGTTTTTGCGGCTTAAGACTAGTTTCTAAGGCAATAGATGCATCTTCAGGAAAGTACAGTGTGTGGAATAGCTTTCCAGAAACCTCTCAGGTCATTACGTAGCTCACTGATGTGTGTCTGAAAGACATACTCTTAAATGCACTTAAAATGTCATAAAATTCAATAAAAATTTGAAGAGTGGAAATTGTTCCATACATGTGATGTATCAGTGAGTCCCAACCAGTGATGGGAGGAGGCCAAGGCTGTGCCAGTGACCTTGGCACATTGTGAGGACTTACAATAGTATTACATATTTCCTTGGGCTTTTCTCTTATTTCTCCATTAAAAATTCACATCCCTTTTTCTTTTCTTTTTTTCCCCCCTTTTTCTTTTTTATTTTCACCACTTGATCATTCTCTTTAGAAAATGTGTTCTGGGGGCGCCTGGGTGGCTCAGTGGGTTAAAGCCTCTGCCTTCAGCTCAGGTCATGATCTCAGGATCCTGGGATCGAGTCCCACACCGGGCTCTCTGCTCAGTGGGGAGTCTGCTTCCCTTCCTCTCTCTGCCTGCCTCTCTGCCTAATTGTGGTCTCTGTCTGTCAAATAAATAAATAAAAATCTTTAAAAAAAAAATGTATTCTGACTCCTGAGTTTTAGGAAAACCCCAACACTGTGGGCTTGTGTGGGGCAGGGTGCGAGGCCGCAGATGGAGCTTATCTCCGAGATCTTATCTCTCGATGTAAAGCAAACTCGGCCACTTCGAGTGAGTGTTTCTTCCTGTTATCAGGTGGCAGCTTTCTCAAGCATAGAAAACCTTTTTAAGGTCAAGCCAGCCAAAGTATAACTATTAATCGAAACAATTCTATAATAATGACATTGTCAGGTTACATATCCCATCAAGAGCTAAGCAGTAAGAGAATTTTACCACTGAACCACCCATGCCTACACAATAAGAATAAAAATTTCAGGGTCCTGGGTGGCTCAGTCGGTTAAGCATCTGCCTTCGGCTCAGGTCATGATCCCAGGGTCCTGGGATCAAGCCCCACATCAGGCTCCATGCTCGGCGGAAAGCCTGCTTCTCCCTCTCTCACTCTCCCTGCTTGTCTTCCCTCTCTCACTCTCCCTGCTTGTCTTTCCTCTCTCATTGTGTCTCTCTCTGTGGAATAAAGAAATAAAATCTTTAAAAAAAAAATAGAATAAAAATTTCAGAAGTCCTGGTGAGATATGCCTTAATTTTTTCAGTGATTCTGAAGCACCTCTCGCATAGATAAGGGTTTGCTTATTTATTTCAGCCAGCCGAGATGAGAGTTTCAGGTAGGTCTCTGTCCTTGACCAGGAGCTCCCTGGCTGTGCCTTCAGCATGCTGGGTCACCTGGTTAGTGCCTTTGCAATGTTCAGTGAGCTTTCATTAATTTATTCTGCTAGATATCTACACACTGTGATCAAATTGAAGCAAACGGAGGCTTGCAACTACTTCAGAGGCTGTACCAACTTCACAAGGATTGTCCTAAAATACAGAGAAATATAATGCGTATCATTGGAAATATGGCTTTGAATGAACATCTTCATTCTACTATAGTTCGCTCAGGTAACACCTCTATGTACTGAGTATTTTGGATTTGGTCCTTTGTTCTTCTCCCGCCTCCACCCCTCATGATATATTAATTTTTTTAATAGACTTAAGACTTTGCTTAGGATTGCTTATGGGTCCTTAGAGCATGTCATTTTTGTAGGGGCACGGAGTTGCTTGAGACATGTGGATGGCCCATATCTAAGATACTCGGTGCGGGGACAGTCACGGGGGAGCAGTTTTTGCCATCTAATTGTTTACATCATCTTTGATATGATTTGGTTAACCAAGAGATGTACTCGGGGTATAAATAGTGATGTCCCTGCCTTGCAACTAATAAACTGATGGTGGGGAGATACTTAAGACCGGGCAGAAATTCCTGTTCCTCGTCTATGGAACATTCTCGCCTCATCTTGCCTTTAGCGTGATGGTTGCAGAATGGTGGTTTCCTAACTGCAGCACTCCTTCCCTGTGTGCCTTTCAGAATTTGGCATTTTCTTACAAACAAAAGCCCTTCTTTCTCTCTCCTTCCATCTGTCCCCCTCCTTTCTTCCTTCTTGCCTCTCTCTTCTTCCCTCCCTCCCTCCCCCATCAGTATGGGGACATAGATTCCTGTTTTTTTTTAATGGTTTATAACTTACTACTGTACTGAACATTTGATGCCAGATTGTCTCAGTTTTGTTTAGTGGGAGCCCCACAAACTGGCTCCCTGTGTCCTTGCAATGTGCCTACCTCATTTTGGGAGGCATTCGTTGCTATCTGGAATAACAACATGTTCCGGGCTCATTTCTCTGGGGAGAAATGGAGAGATTTTAGTGCAGATCGACTGGAACAGGATCTGGGTGCTTGGTGTGCTTGTTGTCCTGGAGTGTCTTTGTTTCTTGGCTCTTTCAGTGGAAAAAGCAAGGTGATCTGTGCAAATACACACACAAATATGCATACGTATGTGTTCATCAGATACATCCATATGTTCATATTTATTAGAAACTATGAATTTACATTTTTTCTTGTGTTTCTGCTTTGTTTTTTGGTTTACATTTAAGAGAGTTTTGATCAATAGAAGTTTTTAATTTAATGAAGTCTCATTCAGGGATCAGCCAACTTTTTCCATAAAGGACTACCTACTATGGGTTTTATTTGTTCTGACTTTTTAGATCCTTAAGGTAGAAACTTAGATCATGATTTTAACCTCTTTTCTTGTTTCAGTTACCTGTTGCTGTGTATCAGACACAAAATTCATTGGTTAAAATAGCGACCCTCTGTTTTCCTCATGAATCTGAAACTTGGGCAAGGTTTGGTAGTGAAGGCTTATGTCACTCTAAGCAGCGTCAGCTTGGCAGCTCAGCTGTGGGACAGAGGGTTCGCTTCCACGATTGCTCGCTTACCTGGCTTGCAGACTGGTGCAGGCTCTCAGCTGGGCCTGGGGACATTGGCTCCTTTCTCTCGGCGCCTCTGCACTCAGCTTGAACTTCCGTTAAGCATGGTGGCCAGGTGTAAAGGGCAAGTGTCCCCAGAGAGGGCCAGGTATAAACTCTTTCCTTTTGTAATCAAGCATTGGAACTCATTTCTGCCACGGCCTGTTGATTAGGACCTAGTCATTGCCGCCGGCTCACATCCAAGGGGAGGAGATTTGGAACGGCTTTAGACTCATCACCTCTTTTTTTTTTTTTTAAAGATTTTCTTTATTTATTTGACAGAGAGATCACAAGTAGGCAGAGAGGCGGGCAGAGAGGGGTAACCAGGCTCCCTGCTGAGCAGAAACACCCCCCCACCCCAGACGTGGGGCTCGATCCCAGGACCCTGAGATCATGACATGAGCTGAAGGCAGAGGCTTAACCCACTGAGCCACCAGGGTGCCCCTAGACTCATCACCTCTTAATGGACAATAGTGTCAAAGAATTTGAAGACGTGTTTTCAGATCACTGCAATTTAGTACTTAAAGCAGTAAATTTCCTCTAGCCTGCTTTAGATGCGTCCCTCACATTTTGGATATATTGTATTTTTGTCATTATTCAGTTTGACATATTTTCTAATTTTCTCGTGAATTTTTTCTTTGTCTCATGGGTTACCTAAAAGTATGCTGTGTTGTTTATAAATGCTGTTTTCTAGATATCCTATGTCTCTCATTTCTAATTTAATATTGCATGTGTTCAGAGAACATATCCTGTAAGATTTTAGTCTTTGGAAATTTATTGAGACGTAGTTGATGGCCTGTTGCATGATCTGTCGTGGTGAGTGTTCTGTGTGCACTTAAAAAGAAAGAGTGCTCTGTGGGTGTTAGGTGAGGTGTTCAACCTATAACAAACCGCATTGGCTGACAGTGTTGCTCAGATCTTCTCTAGGTCTTCATTGTGTTTTGTCTAGTTCATTTGGTAGTGAAGGCTTACGTCACTCTAAGCAGCGTGAATTACCGAGAGATGTGTGAAATTTTTCACCCCTTGCCATCCTTTGTGGTATTGGCATAATGTATTTTATTCCTACACATTACAGACTTAGTGATACACTGTTGTTACTCAGTCAAGTGATATTGAAAGACTGTAAGAAAAAAAGAAAAGTCTTTCTTATTTGCACATTGATAATATGCCGCGTTCTTCCTTCTGTTTATCTACATTTACATCTGACATCGTTTCCCCTCAGGCTAAAGACCTGGGTTTGCTGGACAAATTCTCTCACTTTTCACTTTCTGAAAGTCTTTACTTTGCCTTTGATTATCCCAGGAAAGAGATTTTCCATGGATAAAGGATTCTGTGATGACAGTGTGTTCTTTTTAATGTCAGCACTTTTAAAACTGCTGTTCCATTGTCACGCAACCCCCGCTGTCTGATGAGAAGTGTCGAATTCCTGCTTTCGCTCTCGTGTATGTACCTTGTCATTTCTTCTCTGGCTTCTTTTAAGGTTTTTATGTTTGGTTTTTAGCAGTTTGGCTATGAAGTGCTTGGTTCCTTTTTTATATTTATGCTGCTCAGGGTCTGCTGAGCTGAGTAAATCAGTGGGCTGATGTTTTTTTTTTTTTTAATCAGATTTGGAGAATTTCCGGCAACTATATCTTTTTTTTTTTTAAAGATTTTTTTATTTTTATTTAATAGACAGAGGTCACAAGTAGGCAGAGAGGCAGGCAGAAAGAGAGGAGGAAGCAGGCTCCCTGCCAAGCAGAGAGCCCGACGCGGGGCTCGATCCCAGGACCCTGGGATCATGACCTGAGCTGAAGGCAGAGGCTTTAACCACTGAGCCACCCAGGCGCCCCTCCGGCAACTCTATCTTAAAAGACTTTTTCTTGTCTCCATTTGCTCTTTTCTCCCATTGGGACCTCAGTCATTGATATTAGATCTCTTGGTTCTGCTCCACAAGTCATTGAGACTCTTCATTTCTCTTCAAATATTTTTCTCTCCCTCTGTGTTTTACTTTGGATAATTTTTGTTGACTTATCTTCAGTTTCTTTAATGGGATAGAGCCTTGATCAAATCAGTATTTTATTTGAAAAGCCCACAAAACACTCTTCCCTGAACCGAACCCTGGCTCTTACCCCAAGTCTTTTATCCTCTCGGTGATTTCAGTGTCCACCGGACAGCCCTCTGAACACCTTGGTGTCTCCAGCTCCTTGACCGTCTCGCCTCCATTGACTTCCTTCTCTGCTCCTGATTGTCTAGTGCTCCGCTCCCATGCCACACCTGCATTTAGTCACGGCCTGAAACCACTTCACCTACAGAATCAGTAATTCACCCCTCAGAGCGCATCCTCCTCTCGTTCCAGTTTGTCTTTGCATCTGCTCCCACGGTGACCATTTTTATTCTCTCCATGAGTTTATCTGCTGACCCTGTTATTTTCTCCCCGTCCATTCGTCCTCTTTATCTGCACTCCCCTCCTGATGCAGTGTCTGTATATTCCATGGTTCCTCATTTCACTGACGTTCTCTTCAGTGTCCTGGAACTCCCTTTCTCTTCCATTCTCTGAGCACATCCTTGGTCAAGACCCCGGCGCTAGAGGAAACCTACTCTGTCTTGCTTCTGTGGCTGAGCATAGAATCATTGCAGGTTGGTCCTCAGCTTCGTATCGCTCAGCTCAGCAGTCCTGTTTCTCCGGTCGGCGTGCCTTACTGTTCCTAGCAATGATGATCGAACCTTCTCCATGTTCTTCAAACCTTCCCCAGAGTCCTTGCCTCTCAGCAGATGACCTCTCCCATGGCAGTGAGAAGCCGAGACCCTGAAAGGAATTTCCCTGTTTCCCACTACTAAAACCAAACCGGTCTTCCCCTTTTCTGCTCTTGATGATAGGAAAAGGGACATCTTTCATGAGACCTCCAGCTGCACCTTGCCCCTGGCTCCTTTCACTGTCTCAGGAATTGCCAGTCTTTTCCAATCTGTGTAGTCAGGCGCTCCTTCTCAGCAGGATCCTTTGATTAGGGGACAGTGTGAAAAACCACCTAAATTCGCGACATCACAGCCCCCAGGTTTTTCACTTTCTCTTCTGCTTTTCCATTTTATGTCTAAACTTCTCAAAGTTATCTATGCTTCTTTTTGCTCATCTCCCATTATTTCTGAGCATTTCAGTTTGAATTCTGCTGCCTTACCTTGTATTTTTTCTTTAGGTATCCTTTGTCTTTACTATATATCTGTACACACATGCACACGCACACACACACACATATATCTGTATGTATGTATATATATGCATCTTAGTAGTTTCAGGCCTTTTTGCCATTCAGATTTACAAAAGTTAAGAAGATACTGGTAATATCCACTGCTGGTGACGGTGCAGGAAAACTGCTCCTTTTGTACATTGTCAGTGAGGGTGTAAATTGGTTCAGTGGTTTTTTTTTTTTTTTAATAGGTACTTAGTAGTATCTATTAAAAGAATATGTACACCAATTGACGTAGTAAGAATACTACTGGGACTCTCTCCTACCTAAATACTCATGTGTGTTCTTAAAGATTTGTGTACAAAAATGTTTATTGGACTGGTGTTTGCAGTATGGAAAACGTTGCCAGTAGGAATAATGGTAAATAAACGATGGTATTCTCAAACTATGTCACATGCTGTAGTTAAAAAGAAAAGTTCATGTATGCGGAGAGCATCCCAAGGCACCATTCCGAAGTACCAGATCTGGTCACAGAGCAGTAGGAATAGTACGATTCCATCTAGGCAAGAAAAAAAAAGAAGCATATAGCGCCTTAGTGTATAGTGTATATGTAGAAGTTACAGGTATAGGACTGAATGTTTGAGAAGGTTTAGAAGGGTCACCACCTAACTTTGAACTCTAGTTACTTCTGAGGCTATAAACGGAGCTGGGAAATGATGGGAGTGCTGAAGTGGGACTTTAATTATGAAATGCTATTTTTTTTAAATTGTTTTTATAATTATCATGTATTCAGATGTTACATAATTTAAAAACACTGAATCTGAAAGACATGTTTCCAAGGGGCATTTGGTGTTTTGTAGAAGGCATTGTGAGAATACTTTGTCAACTAAAAAAGCCATAAAAGTGGCTTGTGCCGTGATTACTCTTATGTTTCCTTTTTTGGGACTCCATTAAAAATAAAGCCATGTTTTTGTATGTATACTAGTAATATACCCATTTATCTCCATAGGTAGAATTTTAAAACATTATTATTATTATTATTATTGTTATCATAAAGCTTTCTTTACACATTTGAAAGGGACATTTTTTGATATAACAAATTTGAATTTTTTTTTAAAGATTTTATTTATTTATTTGACATACAGAGAAAGATCACAAGTAGGCAGACAGAGAGGCAGGCAGAGAGAGAGGAGGAAGCAGGCTCCCCGCCAAGCAGAGAGCCCGATGTGGGACTCGATCCCAGGACCCTGAGATCATGACCTGAGCCGAAGGCAGAGGCTTTAACCCACTGAGCCAGCCAGGTGCCCCCGAATTTGAATATTGTTAAAGAAGTATTGGGCCTGAGACTTCTTTTGGATTATCATCACACTGATGTTCAACACTTTGGCCACAGAGCAAGGCAGGAGGACTTGGGGATAGCTGCTTTGTCCTGAGTGCCTGCTGGGCTTCATAAGGGCAGTTTTTACATGGATTAATTTATTAGAACCTTCTTCCAGCCCAGGGAGCCAACTAACTTGGCTGAGGTTCCACAGTAATTAAGTAGGGGACAGACATTTTGAGCCCAAGTGTCTGCCCTCAAGGCCCATGTTGTATTATTTTCAGTTATATAAATAATGTGGGAATAGATTCTCATGGTAAATACTTCAGAGAACATAGCAAAAAAGTTAGACCCATCTTTTTCTTAAAAAAATATTTTATTTATTTATTTGACACAGAGAGAGAGAGAGAGCACAAGCAGGGAGAGCGGCAGATGTGGGGAGAAGCAGGCTTCCCGCTGAGCATGGAGCGAGCAGCAGGGCTCGATATCAGGACCCCGGGATTTTGACCTGAGCTAAAGACAGACACTTAACGAACTGAGCCAACCAGGCACCCTCTTTTTTTTTTTTTTTTTAAGTCTTTAATATTTTCTAGATCCATCCATGTTGTTACAAATGGCAAGATACCATTATTTTTTAAGGCTGGGCCATATTCTGCTGCACATATATATCACATCCTTATCCATTTATCTGTGGTTGGGCGCTGAGGTTGTTTCCGTATCTTGCTCTTCCGTCTTGTAAATAATGCTGCAGTAATTAGAGGGGTGCATATATCTTTTTGAATTAGTGTCTTCTTCTCTTTCTTTCATTTTCTCCCAGTAGAGGAATTACTAGATAATATGGTACTAATATTTTCAATTTTTTGAGGAACCTCCATATTGTTTTCCACAATGACTATGCATTCCCACCAGCAGTTCCTTTTTTTCCGCACCCTTGCCGTTACTTATTTCTAAGCAAGCTCATTATTAAGAAATTATTTCTTATGTGCATTAAAGGCTGCCAATATGTCTGATAATCAGGCTGAAATAACTAATATTAAAATTTAATATGTTTAGGGGCGCCTGGATGGCCCAATGGGTTGGGCTTCTGCCTTCAGCTCAGGTCATGATCTCAGGGTCCTTGGATCGAGCCCTGCATCGGGCTCTCTGCTCAGCAGGGAGACTACACCCCCCCCCCACCTCTCTGCCTGCCTCTCTGCCTACTTGTGGTCTCTCTCTCTGTCAAATATATAAAAATCTTTATAAAAAAAATGAGTTTAGTAATTCTCGCTAAAAGCAGAATATCATATTATTATTGACGACATCTCTAGTAATCGCAACTTCTGTTAGATTTTCTAAATAAAGGAAAAGGCTCTTAAATCCCTGCTACCTTCTTTGAACCGCCCATACAGGGTGCCTGGCTTGGGACATCCTGCGCCATGGGATGTGGAGGACCTTGGGACAGAACGGAGTTGGAGTAGTCTTCCTTTTCTGTGAGACAGACCCTGGAGTCTGCCTTTCTCCCGCCGTGTTCAGTCAGAGACCGTCGCTCACAGTCTCCCATGAAGTGGTATGGGACTGAGGGGTTTGTTCTCTTCCCCAGGGTGGGTTTCCATACTGGCAGAGGCAATGAAGTCCCCGCGCATCATGGAGGCCTCACATGCCGCCAGGACCCTGGCTAATCTAGACCGAGAGACAATGCGAGAAAAATACCACGACGGCGTGTACGTGCTGCACCCCCAGTACCGCACGAGGTGAGAAAGCGGACCATCGCCATGTCTCCCGAGGGGATGGAAAGCCTGGGGAGCTTCTTACTTTACTTTATTTCTCCATCATTAAATACCTTACAAATAATCCCGGGAACCTTATCTCCTGACACAGCTTGTCCGTAATCACCTGAGAAGAATTGTGAGCTGTCACAGGAGTGTGGAACTAGCTAAATTAATCAGCGTGATTTTACACCAAGGGCTGACCCTCCGTAAGATCACGTTCACCTCTTATAATGTGTCCCCCCTTCCACTTTGTAACGCATAATTCTTTGTTTCGTGACTATTTCCTGTAGATCTGAGTTAATGGCCAGTTCAGATGATCGAGGTTGTTCTGCATGGGAGGAGACAGGACATCCTATTCAGGAGACCATATTATATTAGCTTGGTTCTAGAACTCAGAAGGACGGGACAAAGTTTATGCCATATATAAAATCGTGCACTGGAAGGAGTAAGCTGTAATAAACTTGACTCATGCTCCCTCTTAAGATTATTTCTGGTCACTGTTTCCAGTTGTATCATTGCTGAGATAACAAATATAGGAAGGACCACAATGAAAAAATTACGTATTTCTTGGATTTTTCTCGGGTACTTTAATACCTCAGAAAATAGCAAAATCATTTAGTTGAAAAATGGATTGCGTGGTTAATTCCAATTTATAAACAAAATGATATGGAAATGTATTTTGTATATGTTGCATAAATTGTGTGTGTCCTGTAAATAGCTTACAAGTCATATGCTATCTACAGTTTTAAAAAATATCATATCTAGGAACATCTGGGTGGCTCAGTTGGTTAAGCGTCCAACTCTTGATTTCGGCTCAGGTCATGATCTCAGGGTCATCAGATCGAGCCCTATGTCAGGTTCTCTGTTCGGCATGGAGCCTGCTTAAGATTCTCTCTCCTGCTGCCCCTGCCCTCATATTAAAAAAAAAAAAAAAAAGTCATATCTAAAGACGATGGATTACTTTAAAATCTAATTTTTTTAAAAAAAATATTTATGTGTTTGAGAGAGCGAGTGAGTGAGCTGGGGGGAGGAGGAGGGGGAGAGAGAGAATCTCAGGTAGAATCCCCGCTGCGTTGGAGCCCACTGTAGGGCTCGATCCCTCCACCCTGAGGTCATGACCAGAGCTGAAATCAAGAGTTGGACACAACCAACTGAGGCACCCAGGCGCCCTTAAAATCTCATTTCTGATAAGCACTTATTTCCTTGATAAGTTCTTAAAAATCTCTCATGCACACTCAATTGAAAACTACACTAGCATTTTCTGAGTTAATATCTTAAACAATTTTATTGATTTGTGGAATATTCCCATGAAATTCTTCGGAGGGCGGTCTATGACCTGTGTCACCTCACTGGTTATTAAACTCCTTACGGTTGAGTTTGGCCGGTCTAGTTGGCTCGGGCTAGATCCGTCTCTGTTTTTATGGAGAGAGCAGCGAGCGCACTCCGTGTACGCCTCTGCCGCACCCGTGCCAGGACAGCTGGCCCTCACGGTTTTGTTTCCTGCATGTAAACTTACTAAGCGCCTTCCACAGAATACTAGGTAGACTCTGACCAAAGCAGTAATGCATTTATTCTGCTTCTTTTTAAAACTCTCTCCCCCGTCAGTCAGCCCATTAAAGCAGATGTCCTTTTTATTCATGGCCTTATGGGAGCAGCGTTCAAAACGTGGCGCCAGCAGGACAGCGAGCAGGTTTTAACTGAAAAGATTTTAGAGGACGAAGCCAGGTATACCACGTGTTGGCCCAAGGTAAGGAAGCACTGCCTCTGGCGAGGGGTGGGGGCGGGGGGACGCCCCTTCCTGGGGGAGCCTCACAGCATCGCTGGCTGCTGAAGGCCGCATTCCAATTTGCTTATTTTCCTCTTTTTCCTGGGAGTCTTCTACCATGCAGTTTTTTTGTCCCTTAGGGACACTTGTAGGACGTTCCTGAGCAGCTGGGCTTGTCACTCTGCCTTCTGTTGTGTCATTTCTGGTTAGGGTGTGGGCTAGAACTCTCAAAGAATAGTTCATTGAGTAAAAAATGGGCAAGGACCAATATTTGTTCCCTTCTCTTAGAAATACAATGAATAAGGGGCGCCTGGGTGGCTCAGTGGGTTAAAGCCTCTGCCTTCGGCTCAGGTCATGATCTCAGGGTCCTGGGATCCAACCCCACACAGGGCTCTCTACTCGCAGGGAGCCTGCTTCCTCCTCTCTCTCTCTCTGCCTGCCTCTCTGCCTACTTGTGATCTCTCTCTGTCAAATAAATAAATAAAATCTTAAAAAAAAAAAAGAAATACAACGAACAATACGTTCATAATAGTTGGCTAGTTCTATGACTTTAATAACTATAAAAATAGAAATAATTGGAAGAAATAATTCTACTTTGGATTTCCTTGGTGATATGTCTTCTAAGAGCCTTAACTCTGGGCTGAACGCACTGCCTTCAATGTACCCGAAGCTCTGCGAAGACAGACACGCGTGTAGTTGCTGGGGCTTTGTCCCACCGGAGCTTCTTTGCCTCATGGAGGCTTAGCCTGCAAAAGGAATGGTTTGCACTTGGTCTCTGGCAACACTGATGTAGGAGGGGACAAGTGGCCCTGGGGCCACAGTGGAACCAGGACTGTAATCAGAATCTCTGTGTTCTCAGCTCGAACCTCCAAACATCAGACTGTACTGTCTGTCCTGAGATCTCTATTTTCTATAAAATGCTTTCTAAAAGTCCATTTGATCCGGACTTTAAAAACCTTCTCCCTTTTGGCTGTAGCACACTAAAACTGAGAACATTCTCTTGAAACTAGCAGCGGCTTTATCCTATAAATCTTGATGCCTCCTTGTGACCAGAGACATAAAAAGATAAAATGCTGGAACTGGTTTCCTAGTCACCTTTTAACTTTATTCTAATGTGATGTTTTATAGTCATATCGCAGTGGCCTTTAGTTACAGGTGGCAATCACCAGCAGACCGTGGGAGCGGTAGAAATTCATGTGTGTTCTTTTGTACCTTCTGTTTTGCATAGACATGGTTGGCAAGGGACTGTCCTGCTCTCCGAATTATATCTGTGGAGTATGACACCAGCCTTAGCGACTGGAGAACGAGGTGTCCTGTGGAGAGGTGACACAGGGGACACCCTGGACAGGGAGGAAGGGCTGGGGCCCAGCACCCTCAGGGACTGAAGGGAGCTTTATCTTTTAATGCTACAGACAGAATTTTTTAAATGAAAACCTAACCTCTTTTCTCTTCCTTCTAGAAGGAGTTAGTCATATATAAACAACTGGGGGAAGGCTTAGATAGAGTGTCAGTCTTGGGTTCCTAAAGTGGTTCATTCATAACTATTCTGGTACTAAGGACCATGCGTTCTATAGCAAAATCTCCTTTACTCTCAGAAGCAAACGTGAGGCTTTTTGCTTTTGTGTCCGCAAGTATATTGGCTGCAGGAAGCAAAGGAGAAGATGCTGAGCAATGTAGTCCACCTCTGTCACTTGTACGTCATACGTGCTGATTGTACATACAGGAAGAGGAGCCCTGGACCGCTAGGCTCTGGGACCTGGATGGTAGCTGACTCTCCCTTTGACCCACTGTGCGGTCTTGAGTCTTTAACTTGCTGGGAAGCTTGGTCTGTAGACTGAGAGTGTTGGTCTGAATCAGTGTTAATAAGCTGAGCGTCGCCTCTGAGCGGCCCCCTTGTAGGTGCCGAGGGCAGTGTTCTCAGGGCCAGTGGGCAAAAGCCCCGGGGTCTTTCCCCATTGCACCAAGAGGAGCTCTGACAAACCTTTATTGCAAGGAAAGGATTTTATAGATAAACAGTTCAAAACTATCAACTCTGGTAGTTTCAAAGTTCCCTTAGCCTGAAAATTACTTTGAATTTTCTGACTCAAAGATTCATAGCTTTCTGGAATTTCTAAATAAACCAAAATGATGAAAACTTAATGTCTGCAGCATAACACAAGTAGAACTAAGTCAGTGAGCTCACAGCAGACAACACGGCATTATCTTCAGGCCGCATCATAACAAGGACACACATCCTCGGTGGTGGGGGCAGCTGGTGTGAGATCCAACTTGTAAAAATTGCCAGATACATAATAGGTGCTCTCACCCTGCTTGTTTAGGGAGTGAGTGGCTTATTCTGGGCCTACGTATTCCCAGTCATACCACTGTGGCTTCGTTAGAAGTGGGGAATGAGCAGTTGTAGAAATCAGAGTAGGGGACTCCTGACCCTAAAATGTGGTGTGTAGTATTGGCCCAATAAAAGTTCTTGCCTTAAAAACTTGGATAGTAAAATTTGGCGGTGGCGGGGAGGTACAGAATCAATAGCTTCATAAAATGCCTGCTGTTTTCATTTTGTTCAGAAAGTCCATTGCATTCAGGAGCAACGAACTTCTAAGGAAGCTCAGAGCTGCTGGCGTTGGGGACAGGCCAGTCATTTGGGTATCACACAGCATGGGAGGTGAGTATGTTGCATTTTTGTGAAGCCGGCACTGGGAGGTTATCGTCAGCTAGTGGGGCTCACCTGTTACCAGAGCTGCCTGGTTCACTTAATACTGGCCCCCTTTCCCTCTAAATTAATGCTTTTGGCTATAGCTAAGAGTTTCTAAATTACTACTTTCCTTCCATCCTAATTGTTTTTCCACAAGGGGACCTCTAGTAACAAACCATATCAAAGGAACATGTGGTTGGCAACGTCCTGCTTTCACGTAGTGATAATCAGTGAACATCAGGAGCCGTCTGTGGGTTGTATCAGCCTGACTTGTGCCTGTCCCTCAGCATTCCTGGCTGGTCCCTGCGCTCCCCTTTCCTCCCTGCATCCCCAAGCATCGCAGAGCCCACAGCCCCAAGCTTGCTGAGGAGGCGGTGTGATGGTAGCTGTCTGCTCTTTGGGTCCTGGTGTGTGCTTGCTAACTGTCACCTGTTCTTCTCGGCCCACTCCCCAGCCCATTGCTCATGGGAGTTGTCACCATCTGCCTTGGTACAGCCCCAGGCCTAGTTCATCTGATGAAACGCTCAGGACTGCAGACTGCAGAGTTAAGGCTTTTAGCTGCGAGAGGGAGGGAGATAGATGTAGCCCTTTGTGCCCACAGAGATCCATGGTTACCATGGAAGTGACCTCTGAGTTGTATTATCAACTTCAGGCCCAAGAGATGGGGCCTTCCTAGGTGCGTTTGCCTACAGAAACTTTGTTTTCCCTGGTGGATAAACTTTATGGGACTGTCGTTTTTTAATCTTAGTACTGTCTATTGGTGTGGTCATTCGTGGGCCACTGGGGCCAGGCTGGGGAGACATGGTGCTGCATATTTACTTCGTTGACAGACATGCAACATAGCAATGCTGCGTGCTCCTTCTGTGGGATAGTGTATTCTTTAATATAAGATCTGCCTTTCTAGAATCTTACCTGTTTGTAGGCTTGTATTATATACAGTTGGCCCTGAGACAGCATGGGGATTAGGGGTACTGACTACCCTGTGCAGTCAGAAATCTGCATATAACTTTTGACTTGCCCCAAATTTAGCTACTAATAGCCTACTGTTGGTCAGAAGCTTTACTGATCTCAATTAACATGTTTTATGTATGTATTCTTACAATAAAGAAAATCGTCAGATAATAGTACTGTACGAAATCCATGTGTGTAAGTGCCCCTGTACCATTCAAACCATGCTGTTCAAGGCTCCGCTGGATTCTAGATCAGCAGTATTACCAAGTGCTAGTATTTTAAGGCCTGTCTGTTGGACTCTAGAGAATTATTTAAACTTTAAAGAAAACATCTTTCTTATTATTTGCTCCCTACCCCCTCTTGTTTTAGAATAATGGAGGGACGAAAAACACCTTACACGTTTTCTTTGTACGGCTAGGTCTTCTTGTCAAAAAGATGCTGTTGGAAGCCTCCAAGAAGCCAGAAATGAGTACTGTTATAAACAATACCAGAGGAATAATTTTTTATAGCGTCCCTCATCATGGATCCCATCTGGCTGAATATTCTGTTAATATTCGCTATCTTCTCTTTCCCTCTTTGGAAGTCAAAGAGCTCAGCAAGGGTAATATCTGTATTCTGTCATGAAGGGGAATTGGGATTGTATTAATATCAGTTATACAGAGAAGGAGAAAAAGATGGTTTCTAACTTGGCTATATTATCCCATTTTATTACTTGTGTATAAATTGTGTTTAGATTATCATGGAAAATTTTTAGTTTGGGCTTGATTTTTCTTTTATACCTTTCCTTAAGCCATTATTTGCTCATATATAACAATTTTAATGCTATCTTAAATACTTAAACTTTTAAGTTATATAATGTTTTAAGGATTATTCCAAATTACCAATGAACTGCTTTTTTTTCCATGAGTTTGGAAAATCGACTGGTAAAGTATAAACAAACTTAATATCCTGAAAATCTTAATTATTACTTATTTTGATTAATAAACATTTTCTCTGTTTCTGGAACACCTATTAATCAATTTGGAGGCCGTGACTGAGCCTTTAATATGCTAGTTGTCTTTTTGTTCGTATTTTCTCTTTCTTCTGCTTTATGGAGTGTTACTTTATCTTCTAAACCTTCTATTGAACTTTATTTTTTTGCAGTCAAGTTTTATTTCCCAGAATCTCTATCTTCTTCTCTGATTCTTTTGAATCATTTTAACAATACTAATTGGAGTTTTTTCTTAAAGTTCCTTTCTGTTTCTTCACTGGGTTCTGTGTCTTCTGTGCACAGGTGTTTTGTTTACTCACTGGGTCTGTCTCTCTTGGGTTATAAGCTATCCTCTAAGGTCTGGTATGTCTCGGTTGCCTTTTTCTAGTTGAGGATGGGGGACCAGGCCCTCTGATTATAGACAGGTCTTGTCGATGGGAGGCTGTGCTTTAGGGTGAAGGTGCCGGCCAACACCCTGAGGGACCCCGGTCCCACATAGCCAGTAACATGTGGGGCCTCTCCCTCGGCCTGCTGGCCTCTATCATTTCTGGTGTGACTTTAACTGTTCACTCATCTTAATGACTTCTTAGGAAGGAGAGAAAATAAGTTACTATTTTTTTTTTTTTTAGATTTTATTTATTCATTTGATAGATAGAGATCACAAGTAGGCAGAGAGGCAGACAGAGAGAGAGGAGGAAGCAGGCTCCCGGCTGAGCAGAGAGCCGGACGTGGGGCTCAATCCCAGGACCCTGGGATCATGACCTGAGCTGAAGGCAGAGGCTCTAACCCACTGAGCCACCCAGGCGCCCCAACAAGTTACTATTTTTGAACTAGAACCCTAATTTTCTCTTTAGTACATTTTATTATGAATTGGCTAAATAGAATTTGTCACAGTCTTGTTTCCTGTAATTCTACAGATTCTCCTGCACTTAAAACACTACAAGATGACTTTCTGGAATTTGCTAAAGACAAGAATTTCCAGGTGCTGAATTTTGTCGAAACACTGCCAACTTACATCGGTAGCATGATTAAACTGCACGTGGTACCCGTGGAGTCAGCAGGTATTCCTTCGTTTGACATTTGTTTGCTGTTAGATGCTGGTTGGTGGTACCTATAGTTAATCATAAACAACCCATTTGTATATTCAGGTTCTCAGTTTTAGGAGACAGTTATGTGAAGATCTAGAGTCTGTTCCTTTCAGCTATAGATTACAATTTCTCTGCCGACATACAACCGTGGCATTACTCCTCCCTCCCTTCCTTTAGCTGGCAGAGGTTAATTGGCTGCCCCAGTGAGCTCTGTTGTAGTAAGAATTCGAAGTCCTTCTATCGGCTACAGCAAAAGGGGCATTTAATAGACTGATCTTTGATTTGTTAAAGCTGCATATAGTGCAGCTAAAGGTGTGGAAGCTTTAATAAAAGAAAGATTTTTTTTAACATCACTTTTTTCCAGTGGAATCTTAGATGGAGAATATTTAAGCACCAATTTCTTTTATAACCCTGGGGTTGGAGGAACTGGTCAGTACCTATTACTGTGGTGTATTATAATGTATTACAGGCTTTTTGAGGTAGGGCCTGAATCTTAATTCTCTTTACTGACTCCTTTATTACTCGGTATGTAGTAGATAACCCACACATTTCCCTCCTTGAAATGCTTTTCTCTCAACTGGCCAACCTGGTGAATTCTGAGGCAGAGTTCGGTGCTTAGTGGCACTTGGCCCTCCTGAGAGCTCTCAGGGACAGGAAGCTGGAGAGCCTGCCAGATGGTTCTTCAACCTGTAGGAGAAGTTTTGGCCTAACTCCATTATATATATCTGAATAAAATGAAAGATGTAATACTCCATAGTAGAACCTAAAGAGGCTTTACCAAAGTAAATGTGCTGTATGGTAAGAAGTTACTATGTAGTAGTTGAAGAACTTAAAAACAGGACTTTGTGGAATCTTGAAGCAAAAGTAAAAGTAATACTGTGGACCAGCTGTTTGTAGCTGTAGAGCCTTGTCAAAATTCTGTCTGCCTTTTCTTTGGGATCACGAGGAAGTTTGTCTTCCTTCATAACCACCACCTTCGTTCCTTACCCTGCAGTCCTCACCGGGACCTCTTGTCACTTGCATCTAGGTGCACTTTGTTAGGCTGAAACATCAGGAACTCAGCTACAGCTCTCAAGCACTAGATCACCTTCCACCTGGCAGGGTGAAGAATGGATCCTGTGTGAGATATTCCCATTCCTGTCATCAGGACAGGGGAGCTCAATAACATAAACTCTAGAAAAAGAGGTGATTAAAAGAAGTATGGAATAATTCAGTAGTACCATGCATTGGAATAAAGATTTTGATGCTGCTGCTGCTCAGGTTCTGTTCACTAATCAATTAGGAAGTAGGCCAAAACACATACGAAGAGTTTATGAAAGCTTAAAATTGTACCTACTGAGAACCCATTCTCATGTGATTAGTCACATGTAGCTTTGCTACAATCAAACCTCCAGTTCCTGTATCTTTTTAAAGTTCCTTAGTACAACCAAATCACCATTTAGAACTACCCATTCATCTTTCAGTGTTGACGGCGGGGGGCGGGGGGTGGCGGGGATCTAGATTTTTACTTAGATTTTGTTGACATTTTTGTTTTCTTCAGATTTAGGCATTGGAGATCTAATTCCTGTGGACGTTGATCATTTGAACATCTGTAAGCCAAAGAAAAAGGATGCTTTTTTATACCAGCGTACCTTACAATTCATCTGTGAAACTTTAGCCAAAGACCTTGAAAACTGAGTTATCTTTCTTCCATTTTGCAAGAAACTTGGTGTTCTGTTTCTCTTTTTAAGCTCTGTGCAATCATGTGAACATGGTCTCTGTGGCATCAACCTGGTCTGCAGCATGTTGCAGGCAATGGAATATGGTTCTCAGTTCCTGCACTGTAAAGCAGAGTGGCAGTCAAAGATTGAAGGGCCTCACTGGATTCTTTTGATTTAAAAGAAATTCCGTGTGTGCCAGCTTATGTTGTGCCATGTTGTCCCTAGTACAGGGAACAAGCTGCTAGGGAGAGAAAATGCCTTTTGTCATCTGCAACGGTCTCCAGCTCACACGAGGAGGAACACTGATGGTTTCTAAAGGGAGAACAATCATCACCTTCCATAAAAATACCACTCAGAAAATTCCTAGACTAGAGAGGAGACTGAACTAGAATATAAAGACTTTTTGTTCTGGGTTTCCATGTGCTCTAAATTTTAAAAAATATATATCGATGTAAACCTTGTCTCACATGTTAACTTTGTCAGACCCGTTGTCATCCATGGGTCAGTTCCTTGTAAGTTTTTATTTCCATATTGCTGAGAACAAATACTTCTCTTTTTTTAAAGAATTATAGCTTATAGTAATTCTTTCCAGACTGTAGCTACCTATACTTGTAATTTTTCCTGGATAAGGATAATGTAGCTAATCCATTATTGATCAGAGTATGAAATAAAACTATCCTAAACTATTATATATACTAACAGTACTTAGTATCAAGATTCTCTTTAGCTAAACAATGTATACCTTTCTTTTATGCTCATTTGAAAGTTGCATCAGTTGACCTTGAGCATGTGAGAAATAGGAAATCATGTATCTGGCTCAGTTGGTAGAGCATGTGACTCTTGATCTCGGGGTCGTGAGTTCTAGCCCCACATTGGGTGTAGAGATTGCTTAAAAATAAAATCTTAAAAAAAAAAAAGAACTAGGAAATCATGTTGACTTTTTATTTTTAAATAACCATTGTTAAGAAAGAAATCACATACCAGGATCCCATCAAAAAAGAATTACAGACCAATATCCTTGATGAACACAGATGTGAAAATTCTCACCAAAATACTAGCTAATAGGATCCAACAGTACATTAAAAGGATTATTCACCATGACCAAGTGGGATTTATTCCAGGGCTGCAAGGTTGGTTCAACATCCGCAAATCAATGTGATACAATATATTAATAAAAGAAAGAACAAGAACCATATGATACTCTCAATAGATGCTGAAAAAGCATTTGACAAAGTACAGCATCCCTTCCTGATCAAAACTCTTCAAAGTGTAGGGATAGAGGGCACATACCTCAATATTATCAAAGCCATCTATGAAAAACCACAAATATTCTCAATGGAGAAAAACTGAAAGCTTTTCTGCTAAGGTCAGGAACATGGTAGGGATGTCCATTATCACCACTGCTATTCAATGTAGTACTAGAAGTCCTAGCCTCAGCAATCAGACGACAAAAAGAAATTAAAGGTATCCAAAGTGGCAAAGAAGAAGTCAAACTCACTCTTTGCAGATGATATGATACGATATGTGGAAAACCCAAAAGACTCCACTCCCAAACTGCTAGAACTTATACAGGAATTCAGTAAAGTGTCAGGATATAAAATCAATGCACAGAAATCAGTTGCATTTCTTTATACTAACAAGACAGAAGAAAATTAAGGAGTCAATCCCATTTACAGTTGCACCCAAAACCATAAGATACCTAGGAATAAACCTAACCAAAGAGGCAAAGAATCTATACCTGGAAAACTATAAAGTACTCATGAAAGAAATTGAAGACACAAAGAAATGGAAAAATGTTCCATGCTCCTGGATTGGAAGAACAAATATTGTGAAAATGTCTATGCTACCTAAAGCAATCTACACATTTAATGCAATCCCTATCAAAATCCCATCCATTTTTTTTTTTTTTCAAAGAAATGGAACAAAGAAATACCTGTAGCAGGTATCAGTACTTCATTCCTTTTTATGGCCAGTCAGTTGTGTGGAGATACACCACATTTGTTGATACATTCATCAACTGATGGGTATTTAGGTATTTTGGTTTTTTGGCTATTATGAATAATGGAGCTGTAAACATTTTATATACAAGTTTTTTTAAGTGGACATGTTTTCCATTCTCTTGGATACAGACTAAGAGTGGAATTGCTGGGTTGTGTCTTTAGCTTTTGAAGATGGTAGACATTTGTAGAATGGGATCATCAAAGCTGAAACGGGAGTATAGTGTCTGAAGGTAAACTGAGATCCCCTCTAAAGCCTATCAGCCCCACTTAATTATGCACTGACCTAACAAGTGACTTAGCTGCTTGTTTTAGTAGGTAGATACAGTGAATGTAACCATTAGCTAACTGCATTAAGTTAACTAACAGTAAGTACTAGCTAATGGATGCCTATTTGCATATCTTAAAAGATGCAGCCTGAGGCTTAGGCTTCTAATTTAACACACATCTAGAGACTGATTCTCCATGGAGACTGGGGAGGCAGAAGGGAGCCATAAGTGCATTCTCCTTCTGGTACATTCCAGGTCACTGGTGTCTCTGTGGAAGAAGTTTATGCATGTCTTGTGCCCTGGCTTTTGTGGCTGCTATGCAGGGAATGCACCCCTCCATTGCCTGGCTCTGGTGGCCAGCAGAGCTTGTGTTTGCAGGTCCCTCAGGACTATAGAAACAAACCATTCAGGGCATAGCACGGAGATAGCAGGCAGAAACACCCATCTTCTAAGAAGTCTGTTTACATACTTTAAAAGTCCAGCTTCCAATCAGCCTGCTTCTGGGTACTGACAAATCCGCCTCCACTTTGGAACACTCACAGGTTTTGGCAGACCCTCAACTGGTGGCAGACACTAAGAACAAAGAAAGGGGCTTGGATAGTCACACAGGTTTGAGAGAGAACCAAGAGCTCAGCAGACTGAACGACAAGATTCATCTCCTAAATAAGACACTCTGTCAAGATTGGGAGAGGTGGCTGTTTTACATAATGCAAAGAAATCAACAGAGTGTTGAGAAAAATGAGTAAACAGAGGACTACAGAAGATAAAACTTGAGAAATAAACCTTATATATGGAGATAAGTGACCTGATAAAGAGTTCAAAATAGAGATTGTCACCAAAGTCAGAAGAATAATGCATGAGCAAATTGAGAATTTCAACACAGACCTAGAAAATATAAGCAAATACCAAACAAATCATAAAGCTGGAAAATAAACTGAAAAACTCAATAGAGTGTTTCAATGATAGACTGGATTGTGTGAAAGAAAGGATCAGCAGATTCAAAGATGGCAGTGGAATTCATCCAGTCAGAGAACCAAAAAGACAAAAGAGTGAAGATAGAATGAAGATAGCTTAAGGGACTTGGGGGATATCATTGCATTATAGGTCTCTTTGAAGGAAAAGAGAAAGGGGCAGAAAGCTTATTCAAAGAAATAATGGCTGAGTTCTCCCCCAACCAGGAAGCCCAGGGAATACCAAATAAGATAAGTCCAATTATATCCACACCAAGAAACATTATAATTAAATTTCCAAAAGTTAAAGGTCAGAGAATCTTAAGAGTAGCAAGAGAAAAACAAATGATTATGTACAAAAGAAATCCATAATACTTATTGGCAGATTTTTCAGCAGAAACTTTGTAGGCCAGAAAAATGGGATAATAGAGTCAAAGTGCTGAAAGAAAAAAATTGGCAATCAAGAATACCTGGCAAAGTTCTTCAGGATTGAAGAAGCGATAGAGTTTTCCGGACAAGCAAAAACTGAAGGAGTTCATCACCACTAGACCAGTCCCACATGAAATGTTCAGGGGAATCCTTCAAGCTGAAATGAAAGGATGCTAATTAGTAACAGGAAAACATACAAAAGTATAAATCTCACTGGTAAGTGTAAATATATAAATTCAGAACATGCTAATGTAATGGTGGGTAAACACAAATCTAGTATGAAGGTTAAAAGACAAAAAGTACTAAAAATACAATTTGTTACTGGATATACAAGATAAAAATTGTAATTTGTGACATTGAGAACAAAATGGGAAGAGTAAAAACAGCTTAGGTAGACATCTGGAAAGTTGTTAGTTTAAAATGACAGAAATATGTTTTACGTAAGCTTCACGATGACCTCAATGCAAAAACTTAGAGTAAATACACAAAAGAGAAAGAGAAAAGAAAACAATTAGACATGGACTTAGTATTGCCATTTCATTAATCATTACTTTGAATGGACTGAATTCTCTAACCCATTTTAAAGAAAACAAACTATATGCTAGCTATAAGACACTTGCTTCAGCTTTAAGGACACACACAGACTGCAAGTGAAAAGATGGGAAGAGATAGTCCATGCAAATGGAAACCAGAAAGCAGGGGTAGCTGTATTTAAGTCTACTTAGAAGTCTACTTAATATACTACTACACACAAATGCTAATTAACCTAATGAAGAGTAAAGGCTGTGTTCATTACTAATCAGATATAAACCAAACAGAATAATAGATTTTGACAAATTATAGAGCTATTTAGTGGAAATGATGTGATGTGATATAGTGATTTTAGGAGCGACTCACATATGTTGGTGAAAATGAATCATTCTTTGTGTCTAGCCATTTTTGAGTGCAAATATAAAAATAGAATTGTTCCCTTTTCTATCATTGTGGCTGTTTCAAGAAAAACCTTTTGATGTAAATGTGAACTTTGACCAGTCTCCCTGGAATCTTGTACACGACATGTGACCTTAAAATTTTTAGCTATATGGTTAAACACGGCTGCATGAACATAAGTTCTGTCTCTTTTTTAAAGGGATTTATTTGAATTGCTGATAATTGATTAGTGACTATGACATCCATAATTTTTTTTGTCTAGATGACATTAATTTAAGTCCTTTTTAGATAATAAAAATTCATGTTTGAATACTTAGCAGGTTATATATCAACATTATTAGTAATAAAATTATAACTTTATGCATATATATGGATTACTATTAAAAAATAGTACAGACATCCCCTGTTCAATGTACTTGGTTATCTGATTAAAAATCTGGATTAAAAACTTCCCATTGACTCTTGGGCATTGACAGTTCTTAGAGTATTATGACTGATACAAACATATTCGTTAGTGATCCTTCATTCCAATAATTTAAGTGCGGAAGT